CTGGGAGAGCCTTGTGGCCAGAGAATGTCGCCCCACAAGGAAACCAGGGAATGTTATAAATTTAATAAAATTTGCCTTATAAATTACAGCAGCAGCCCCCGGGCTCAGTTTGCTGCCCTCAAGAAGCAAGAGTTGGGTAAAGCCGGGCAACCGCTGCTAGAGAGAAAGTTATCTCAGAGTTCGGGGCTATGGCCCTTGGGCCAGTGCTGTCTCTTCCAGGGTGGCCACAGGGCAGCAGCAGGGGCCGGGCAGAGGCTTATGGGCCCATGGGCGCACAGGGTACAGGAGCAGAGGCTGAGGCCAGGTCCCATGGGCTGCTGGGTACCACCACCCACTGGGCTCCTCAGTCCAAGCTGGCCATGAGCAGGTGCAGCTCGCGGAAGGCACTGCCGTGGCGGCCGCTCAGGCCTGACTTGCTCTTGACAAGGCCACTGATGCTCCTGAGCTGCTTGTAGCAGAGCCGGCACTTGTGCAGCCTGCGACGGAGGGGCAGGGCCTGAAGGCGCCAGCTGGCACCACCAGGACCCCCACCCAGCCCGGGCCTTTGCTGTCCCAACGATCCAGCCCTTCCTCCCAGGGAAGGCTGAGGACCAGAGCACGGGCCCCTCCCAGGCTGTGCCAGGGTTGGAGGGCACAACCAGGCTGCGGCGGAACCGAGCCACGCCCACCCCGCCCTGAGCAACTGCCCTAGACTCTAAGGCCTCCTCTTTAAGCAATTTCAGCAGGGCCGTCGACAACGGGGGCCCAGGCTACCAGGCCCATGTCCCTTCGCTTGCTGGGTCAGCCCTCCCACCCACTGCCTGGCCCTTTACCTCTCCTCTCGGCTGATGTCCACACCCACAGAGGGCGGAGCCGCCATGATGTCAGTGATCAGGGGCAGAAACCGCTGCAGGATCAGCTTCAGGGAGGTGCAGCCCGTCTGGACATAGCTTCGGGGCAGATGGATGGAGGGAGTCACAGGGCGAGATTCACAGAGGGGAGGCCAGACCCAAACCCCCCATCTCCCTGCCACACAAGGACACACAGGCCTGTTTCTGCTCTGGACCATGGAGGGGACGGCGCTGCTTCCCAGCCACCTCACAGGGACATCGGGCCTTTGGGGGCTCTTCCTGTGGCCCCCGAAGGAGCCTCCTTGCCTTTCCCCCCAGCTGCGTGGCAGGCACAGCTTCCCACACACCTCTCATACTTGCTCTGCAGAAGCTTCTCAATTTGTGGCAAGACCGTGGTGCACAGGTCCAGCTTCCACAGTGAGCTGGGGAGAGACCAGGACACGCCATCAGCCCAGCCCTGCCCCTGCCACCCACTCCCCCACGGCGCCCACTTACGCCTTCTGGTTGACGATGTTCAGGAGGTCCACCACCACCGACAGGTCATTGATGGCCACGGCAGAGTCCACTGACGTCTGTAAACAGAGAACTGTCAGGGGAGGGTGGGGACAGCAGCCCCACGTGGGTATGGTGTGCCCGTCGGGTTTGTTGTGGGGTGTTAGCAAGACTGCACCCAACATGAGGACGCAAGGCCAGGCCTGCAAATGGATGCCCAACGGCAGCATGCAGTGAGCACGATGGAGCCACAGATGGTCGTCATGGTGCAGTGATGGGTGCTGCCGACTCCACCTGTCCCGCACTGTGAGTGGCCTCTTCTCCATTTGGCCCTGAGCCCAGGCAGGCGGGCGGAAGGGGCAGGGAGCGAGGCCAGGCCCTTGCCTTGATGTCACCCGTGGTCCACACAGCTCGCACAGTGTCCAGGTTCTTGTGGCGGCTGGTGAGCACCACACACATGGTATCATGGCCTTTGCGGATCTGTGACATGGCGTCCTCGTCCACCAGCTCAGCCTGCTGGGGGATCTTCACAGCCTGTGTGGGAGAGGCGCCCAGATGCTGGCATGGGAGCCGGCCTCAAAGCTCTGCCTACGACCCCGGGTCTCCACCCACCTTGGTCCCCCACTCACAGGCAGGAAGTCAGAGGCCTTCAGGCCAATAGGCTCATTCCGGGCGGCAGGGATGATGGCGGGCTCGGCCTTGGGTATTGGTGTGGAAGTGACGACCGGGGGCCGGGCCAGGACTTCCAGCTAAGGGGGCGTGAAGCTCAGCAGGCACCAGCCTGAGGCCACCCTCTCTGCCTCCCAGCATGGGGGGCCCCGGGCCTGGGTCAGGACCCCGGCCCTTCTCAAGCCCAAACCACACCCCCTCGACTACACATACATTTGGCACCGGGAATTGCACGTCCACGGCTGAGCCAGGCTTTGCTGCCTCCTTTGCTGCCTCCTTGGCTGTGGCCGTGTCTGGAGGCAAAAGGAAAAGACCACTGGGTCAAGCCAGAAGGATTGGTGAAGAGGGTCAGGGCTCAGGTGGGACTCAGGCAGCATCTGTGACCGGGAGCAAGAGCCAGCGGGCAGCCCTGGAGGAGGCTGGGAGCCAGGGGAGGAGACAGTAGCAGGTTAGCAGTGTGGGGCTCCCAGAGAGGCCCTGAAGCCAGGCCTGGGCCTGTCTTCTCCTCGCCCTACTCAACCTCAGTTCTGTTTGTGGGTGTGACTCAGGGAGCGCCAATCATAAAGCAGATCACATTCTCTCCCTTCTTTTCTTTCTTTCTTTCTTCTGAGTCAGGGTCTCAGTTTGTCACCCAGGCTGGAGTGCAGTGGCATGATCATGGCTCACCGCAGCCTGGAACTCCTGGGCTCAGGTGATCCTTCTGTTTCAGCCTCCTGAGTAGCTGGGACTACAGGTATGTACCACCATGCCTGGCTTATTTTTTATTTTTTGTAGAGACGAGGTCTTGCTATGTTGCCCGGGCTGGTCTTGAACTCCTGGGCTTAAGCAATCCTCCCGTGACACCACTCTGTCCTCCACTGCATGCATCCCCAGCAGATCCATCTGTGTCTGTCTACTGTTGTCTTCCCACACTCAGGTGTGGGCTCCTGAGAAGAACACTGTCTGCCTTGCTCAAGTTCAATCACCAGGGCATTGTGGGGTCCAGCACAAAGTAGATGCTTTAATTTTACTTAAAAAAAATTTTTTTTGTTACATAAAGAAGGGGGTCTTACTATGTTGCCCAAGCTGGCTTGAACTCCTACCTAAAGCAATCCTCCCTTCCTTGGCCTCCCAAAGTGCTGGGGTTACAGGCATGAGCCACACCACACCTGACCAGGTAGGCGCTTTAGAGGGAAGAGATCCAGTGGGGAAGGCTGCAAGTATCCATGAAAGGGGAAGCCCTGGGGGAGAGGCTGGGGTGGGGGTGTCACAGCCTCAGTGCCCAGGCTCTGCCCTGACTCACCGTCCTCTGGGGGTGCTGGGAAGGGCTCACTTATTCGGGGTGGTGTCCGACCTGCAGAAGCAAAGGGGGCTCCTGTCTGTGGGCCCTCCTGGCCAGGATGCCTGGGAACCAGGCCCTATCCATGCAGACACTCAACCCTCTCCTGGCTCCAGAAGCCTCAGCTCTGCCCCTCCCAGCCCACTTGCCCTGTGGGTGCTCCCTTGATTCGGACAGGGCAGAGTATGGGCGTGGTGCAGCAGCCCAGCCTCTGCCAGGGAGTGCCCAGGTACCCTCCGTACCACAGGGGCATTGCCCAGTGAGCTGGGGGGCATGAGGACAGGGCCAGGGCCTGGGGGTTAGGAAAGAGGCCACGGCAAGCCGTCCTCGGACAGGACCCTCCCTCTGTTTCACAGATGAGGATGTGAGCCAAGGGGACGGGAGCTGGGCTTACTGATGCTGTTCTTGGGCTGGAAGATCTCATTGTAGTCCTCGGCGTTCTGGATCTCTGCCCGGGACTCCCGCTCGTCCCGATCATCCTCGCTGCTGGGGCTGCGGCGCTCGCTCTCTGAGTTTCGCTTCACCCTGGGGTGCAGGGCCAAGCCCGAGGGAAGCAAGGGCCCCTGTGAGGCCTGGGGCAAGGCCCACACCTGTGTGCCCCATGCCCTCTGAGGACCCAGCACCCCACCTCTGTGGCTTGCTGCACGTTGTGCTGGGCCGCTCGTAGATGCGCCGGAGGGGGGCGCTGGGGTTGGGTGGCAGCTGTGCCAGGGGCTGGCTGTCCTGCACGGGGTCCTGGGCCACGGTGCCCGTCCTGGTGACCCGCGTCAGATCCACCACGTAGGAGGAGACGTTGCTCTGGGAGAAGGCCACGCCTATCTGCAGGAAGCAGCAGAGCCGGGGTGGGGTCGGGGGCAGATCCCAGAGGGGATGGGAGTGGGGGTCTGGGGTGGAGGCGGGCGGGTGGCCCGGGGGAAGGGTGACGGCGGGCGCCATGTCTCTCTCACCAGCTGGTCATTGCAGATGGCCAGGTCGGCCACCTTGCCCCAGTTCACAAGGACCACATCAAAGCAGCGCTCGGGCTCCCAGCCATAGACACGCAGCGAGTCCTGGCAGCCGCTGTACAGGCAGCAGCCGTCGGGGTTGAAGAGGACACTCCTGGGCCAGGCAAGAGTTGGCCGTGGGTCCTGCAGCCGAAGCCCGGCCATACCTCAAGAAACCAGGAGAGCCCAGGCAGGGAGAGAGCAGAAGCAGAGAGGGGAAAGGCCCACCCACACCCACATCCCGCTGCCCAGGAGGGCTGGCCCACAGCTCAGCGGCCACATACCTGACAGGCCCCGGCTCCCCTTCGATGCAGCTCACCACCTGGAATTTCTCCAGATCCCAGAAGCGGATTGTCCTACAAAGGCAGCCATGTTGTGCTGGAAAGTCAGTTCCCTCTTCTGACTTGGGCCCCAACATGCCATGAAGGCACAGATCCGGGACCTGGGGCCAGGGAACCAGAGCCGGGGAGAGACGGACCAGGGTCCAGTCTGGCTTGGCTGAAAGCCAGTTCAGTCTCCAGGGGATCGTCAGGTGTGTGACGCCCAGGGCAGAGACAGACAGGGCATGGGGACACAGGAGCACAGAGGACAGAGACGAGGGACAGCAGTCACAGGCCCCGCTTCTCCTCCTCACCTGTCCGAGCTGCCAGAAGCCAGGAGGTACTCATTGGGGTGAAACTCCACCACGTTGACAGGCCCCGTGTGACCAGGGAACTCAGACATCATCTTGCCAGCAGTCAGATCCCAAAGCTGCGGGCAGGGCAGGGTGGAGGTCAGGCCCGGGCCAGGAACCCCAGTTGCCTGCTCTCCCTCTCTCCAGACCATGCTCTCATTCACAAATCACTCTCGGCTCTGGACAGGCTTGGGACACGTGAGCCCCCTCAGGAGGGAGGGAGTGAAGACCCAGCCTGGTATGACCCCAGTCTCCACCCCTGGGCCCAGCTCAGGCTGGGAGCTACCTTCACTGTGTGGTCATCTGCAGCTGATGCCAACCACTTCCCATCGGGGCTGAACCGGAGACACCGCACGGCCTGGCTGTGTCCCTGAGAAGGGAGGACAGAGCACTGAGCTCACCCTAGGGTCCTGGCCAACAGGACCCTCTCTGCCTCCTTGTCATCCCTGCCCAACACACCGTGCATCCTGGGGAACAGGCAGAGGGGACAGATGGCCACATTCGGGAGATGTCAGGGAAGGGCACTTTTCCATGTGAGGCCATGGATTGTGTGGTCATATTGTTTGGGAAACAATGTATTTTATGCTTTTTGGTGAGTTAAATTCCTTCTTTTAATGTTAAAGGCCTTGAAAACCACCACAACTAATTAATTGTTAAACACAGTGCTTCCAAACTCACATGAAGAGGAACCCCTTTCACCTACGTCACCAGTTACTGCTGGAGCAGTTTGATAAATACAGCTCTGGTGGCTTCATGGAAAAGCCAGTGGTTCAGCAGGACCACCCATGGCACTCTTGCTCCATTTCAGATCCAGATGCATGCGCTCTGCCCTCACCCATGGTGGACAGCCGTCTCCTCCACCCCCTGCCAGGGTCTGGGCACCGCACCACTCAACACCTGCGAGGTACTCATGAGGTGACCAATAGGCGGTGCTTCCTTACCCTGTACCGGAAGACACAGCCTTTCCTCCTGATGTCCCAGAGCTGTATGGGAAAGAAGCAGAGGGCAGAGTCAGGAGAGGCCCTGACCACGTCCTGCAGCCTGGGCCAGATGACGGTGTGTGGCCGTGAGCAGAGGGGAGGCTCTGGCACCTTCAGGTCATTAAGCCCCACAGTGAGAGGGCGATGGGGACTGCTGGGAAAGCCAGCCGTTCTGAGCAGAAGTGGCTGGCAAATGCCTGCATATCTGCCTTGCCGAGGAGGGGTAGATGCCGCCGCAGAGAGGGAGGTGCCCCTAGGGAAGGGAAGGTCCAGCGGGAAATGTCTCACCTTGATGTTGGTGTCCTGAGAACCAGAGGCTACGAACTCGCCATATGGGTGGAAGTCCAGGCTGCAGATGTTGGCTTTGTGTCCCATGAGGGTGCGAAGAACTGACAAGAACCAAAGCAGAGACGAGGGCATGAGGGGCGAACAAGGCAGCTGGTGGAGAGGGACTGCTGTGCATTGTGAGCAAATGTGACCTGCCCAGGAACATGGGCCCATAACACAGATCTTTCTTTTCTTTTTGTGAGTCGGAGTCTCACCCTGTCGCCCGGGCTGAAGTGGAGTGGCACACTTACGGGCACCTCAGCATCAACCTGGCTGGGCTCAGGCAATCCTTCTGCCTCAGCCTTCCAAGTAGCCAGAACCACAGACGCACACCACCACACCCAGCTAATTTTTTTATATATTGTAGAGACAAGGTCTCACTACGTTGCCCAGGCTGGTCTCGAACTCCTGGGCTCAGGCAGTCCTCTTGCCTCAGCCTCCCAAAGTGCTGGGATTACAGGCTTGAGCCACTGCACCTGGTCAATACAGATCTTAAAAATGAGAAAATGGATGGGGGTCCCACCACCCTAACAACTCATCCTCTGCTTTTGAGAGATGACAGCCCTGTCTGTCATTACTCAAGTCCATGCCACACACTCGCTACCACATGTGCCCCTGGCTCGTCCCGGCGTATTCTCACATGAGTGACACCTGGGACAGCAGAGCCAGGTGACCACCTTGGCAGCCAGGCCTTGTGGATGTGGAGCCTATGGTCTGCAGGGCACTCCAGCCCAGCCCATTCAGTGCGAGGAGAGAGATCAGGAGAGGTTCAAGCTGGGAGAGAACTCTGCTGGGTTAAAAAGAGAAATCCAGGAAGGTCTTAGCTCTGGAGAGGTGGCATTTGAGCAGATGTCAGTGGGTGAAGAACAAGGGATGCTGGGGAGGAAGTGGGCAAAGGCCCCAAGGAGAGCAAGTCTGGGGTGGCCCTGGTGCTCACACAGGTCCTCTGGGGTGACCCCTGTCTGAGGGGTGTTAGGGGTGGCTATGAGGACACACTGTGAGGATTGAGAGCACACAGGGAGGACACGACAGACTGGAGAATTCTCACGGGGCAGAGATTGTCACCTACTGCTGCCCTAGGACCACACTTCCCATCTCTCAGGCAGTTTTCCGGCTGGGCCCGGCCTGGAGGCAAACCTGCGTTACTGCCTCATGGTGTCCTTTGACACCATTGAGAGCCGTCTCGTGTCTTGTTTTTTGAAAGATGCATCATTCCATGGCCTGAATGAAACCGACCAGCCTGGGAGTGCTTGGGACCAAGGTATATGGGAGTCTGGCCCTTCTTATGTTTGAGCCAAGGTGAAAGTGGGTGCCTTGTGAGGTAGTGAGCGCTCTGTTGCAGGAGGTGTTCAAGACCCCAGACGTAGCACTTCAGGGATAGGAGAGTAGAAGTCCAAGCAGTGGGTGAATTAAATGGACACTACTGTGTGACCTTCACCCTTCAACATCAGGATGTGGGCTCTGAGCCAGACAGTCCCGGGAGCCCTCCAGCCTTCTCCTCACTTGCTGTGTGTTCCCCGGCCAGTTGCTTGCCCTCTCTGAGCCTCAGCTGGGTCATAGCATTGAGTAAGCAAATGGACACAGAGTGCTTAGCACAGGCTCAACACACGGCAAGTGCTCAATAAGTGCCCATCCTATTTATTCCCATTCTAACGTCTTCCTGCAGAGGCCTGCCTTCATCCCGCCTGTCTGACCCCTTCCGTCATGACTCAAGTCCCCAGAAACTGGATTGCACACTCCTTGCACGCTGGGCCTTCTTCTTCCCCCACAGACCTCAGAGCACATGCTCTTCTCCCTCTTCTGGCTCCAGTGACAATGCACTCCCAGTGCAATGGCCATCTGGGTGCCTCCCTCATTCCCAGACACCTGTTGAGCACATCTGTGTTCAATGGCTGAGGGGTGTTCAATGCCACTCCAACGGCAGGAGGTGGGCAAGGGCCCGAGGCCGCACAGCAGGGCCAGAGCCAGAATGTGGGTAGGCACCTGCCTCTCAGGAAGCACTTGCCTCCCAGGGAACACTTCCCTCTCAGGGAGCACCTGCCGCTCGTGCTTCCCCTGGGTCAAGGAGCTGATCCATCCTGAAACTTTGAGGACAGGGCCAGGCACAGGAAGCACAGGAGCAAAGGCCACTCCTCTTCTACTGCCCACTGCACCCACCATCCTTCTATGTGCTCCTGCAGCAGGCCGTCAGGTGCTGGAGCTGGGATGAGGCCACCTTTGCCCCTGGAGTCTGTCAAATGGACACCTGCACCAGAGCTGCAGCAGCACCTGAGCAGCCGTCTCTCCTTGCTCTGTGAGGCTGCCAGGTGCTGCTGGGGCTTGTCACAGCCTTGCTGGCCAAGGAAGCCTCGGGGACACATGCTGCCCTGTCCAGGGCCCGGAAGACACAGCCTCATGCTGGCTCCTGCCCCGGTCCACACCCACCCCAGCCACTCACACCCCAGAGCAAGGCTTCCGAAAGCCTGTCCTGCCCCAGGACATGGCGGGGCCCCACCCCTGTGTGGGCTGGCTTCCTGTGGATCCTGTGGGATCCGCTGGGCTGAGCCACCCTCGCCCTCTGACCACACTGTGGAAAGCAGGCAGGGCCACATTCTTCTGGAGTGAGTCCTGCCCTTGCTCTTCAGCCCCGGGAAGGCCCTTGGAAGGCCTCCCAATGCGTAGGCTTGGTCGCAGGATCTGGGAACTGCAGAGTGGAGGGATTCCAGGGTCTGTCTGCTCCATGCAAGAATCTCCAAGCCCTTCAGCCGAAAATGCTCAACTTCTGCTTGCATCCTCTGGCGATGCCTTTCCAGGCAACTGCTGTGCCAGGTGGCTCTCCTGGAACCCTTTTTTACACCTGCCTCTCATATCGCTGTCACTCACACCCTGGCAGCTGGGGGTGGAGGGGCACTTGAGGTTTCAGCTCTGCCTGCGGAGGGCAAGTTTCTCTTTCACTTGAGAACCCCCCCAAACGCGAGGCAACCAATGGCAGAACAGAGAACACGGAGATGGCAGTCCTGATACCAGGATTCGAGCTTCAGGTTTTGCCCTGGACAGTGACAGTATCTCGGTGCCCTGCCTGGGTCTTGCTCTTCTACCCTAGAAGGGTCCTTGGAAGGCCTCCCAGTTTGCGGGATGATAGTTTGCCTATCATCTCTCAAATAAGGGGGCCCTATCAACACGGCTCTGCATTAGAATCACGTAGAAGCAGCTTCTGGGGCACGCCAGTACTGAATAAGGATCTTAGGGTGGGTTCTGGGCTATGAGTCTGTATTGAGCTCCATTTGGGATAGCCTGCCCTTGCTGTCCAGGGCCCAGGAATCGAGTAGTCTTCAGTCTTTACTCCTCAGCCACCTCAAGGAATTCCTCACATTTCCCTTCCTAAGCACAACCATTGTGGCTGAGAGCCTGGGAGGGGGGCACAGCACCCGTGGCTTCTCTCTTTGTCCCGAGTGTCCAGTGGCCGTCCGTTGGGTCCAGGTCGAGAAGTGGACTGCCTGAGCCTTCCTGCCATCTCAGTTTGAGCCTAGCTCCTCCCTAGCTTGCTCAAGTACAGCAATGTCCGAGCACAGCATGGCCAGGGCCCTGGGGTGCCCAGGCAGTGGGATCACATGCTGAGACGCGAAGTGCACAGCTCTGTTTGTTGTCAAAGAGGTCCTGGACTCCTCTGTTCTCATTTTTCTTTTTTGAGTTGGAGTCTCATTCTGTTGCCCAGGTTAGAGGGCAGTGGCACGCTCCCAGCCAACGTAGCCTTGACCTGCTGGGCTCAGGTGATCCTTCTGCCTCAGCCGATTCTTCCGCCTCAGCTTTCCAAGTAGCTGGAACTATAGGCACGCTAACTTTTTGATCTATTGTAGAGATGAGGTCTCACCATGTTGCCCAGGCTGGTCTCAAACCCACAGGCTCAGACAATCCTCTCATCTTGGCCTCCCAAAGTGCTGGGATTGATTATAGGCTTGAGCCACCACACCCAACCTCCTCTTTTCTTAAACAGACTGTCACTAGGCAGGAAGGTATCATTCAAGAGGCCCACGGGCACTCTCTTTCCTGAGGGCCACCTACACAGAAGACTTCTCCTGTCCTTGAGCACAGTGAACCTCACAGTGAACCTCACCATGGTCACTGGCTGCGGTCTTGCAGCAGACGTAGAGCATGAGCCACAGGAGAGACCCAGAAGCACCTCCGGGTCCCAGCCAGGCAAGAGGGGCTCTCCTCTGGCAACACAGCCTCGGCAAAATCCACGCTGCTACTTCTTCTCCTGGGCTCAGGTAGGCGGCCTCCTGCCCAGCATGCCAGAAGGTCCAAACCAGGACTGCCAGAAAGCAGCCGGCAAGCAGGTCTTATTTGGACCTCGAATGCTGGTGGCATGGTGTTCTAAAAACATGCTGAATGAGCTGTTAACATGTAAAAATGGACAGATTCTGTAGAAATCTCCAGGTTTCCAGCCGTCTTGAAAAATCCATAGAGCTAGCAACACCCACTGAAGCAGAGAGGCGGTAGCTGAGACTCCACTTGGTCCAGAACTGAGGGCACGAGTTTCCAGAATGAAAGGACCCAGCAGAGACCTTGCCTAGAGTGAAAATAGACCATACCGAGGGAGAGTCATATCTGTGAACCATGAGGACTCAGGGACAAAGACCCTGCAAACTTGCAGAGAGAGAGAGAGAGAGAGAGAGAGAGAGAGAGAGAGAGAGAGACACAGACACACACGGGGGGGTGGGGGGAGAAGGAGGGAGAACGAACAGAAGGAGGACACTGGCTCCCAGCAGCAATCCTGGAACCTACAAGGCAGTGGAGCTGCACCTTCAAAATTCAGAGGGCAAATAATTTCCAACCTAGAATTCTATTCTCAAACTCAGGGGAAAAAAAGAAGAGTGAAAAAGAAGATGGGGTTAGAATAAAGGCCTTTTCAGCCATGGAGTCTCTAACACTACACCTGCCACACACCCTTTCTCAGTGAGCTCGGAAGGCATCAAGGAGCAGGAGAAAACCAGGAAAGATGACAACGTGGGACCTGGAGCAGCAGACGGCTAGAGAGAGTTCCCTGGAGAGGTGACAAGGAAGACCAGGACAACAGCTGGTGCTCCCAGACCCTGGGACCTGGAGGACGGAGGCTCTGGAAGACACGCCTGGATTATGAGATGGGTTTGAAGGACACAGGAGGACATTTACCCCCCTGCAGAGAATGTGGGGTTGAGTTAGTAACAGGAACACGGAAAACACAGAGATGAAACCAAGTGAGAAAAAGAAAGGAATATAATCAGCAGTGAAAGGAATTTACAGGGTCCTTGCAGCGTCAACACTGTTTCAGCAGTGACGCTGGAGGATGGAAGGAGGAGTGCCATGAGGGACAGGCGAGGGGCAGGGGCGATACAGTCAAGCCCCCTCTTCTGCAGTAGCAAGGCAGTAGCTCATGGGACGTTTTTTTAAAAAAGAAAAGAAAGAGACTACAGTATAACCTGTTGTTTGGAAAAGGGAAGGTAATCAGAATGAGAGACCCAAGCACAGAAAATTGAGGCTCTTGGAGAAAGGGCAGGAGGGGAGGCTCCTTTTTGTCATTGTGAGTAACAAGGAGATGCTGTAAACTCTGTAATGTCCATAAAGATGAAAATGGAGCTAATGCAATCATAAGCAGACAGACCTGGCCACCTCAGGCCTGATTCCTGGTGGCCCCAGTGAACCGAGGCAGAGCAGGGGTCCCGAGTCAGGGTACATACTCCCTGGTTCTTCACGGCGCTCCCCACACAGCTGCCACCTCACTGGTTCACATGTCCTGTGGGGCCCCCAGTGATATGACATCTCTCCAGGTTCTGAATCTACACACACCCACCCACACACCCACCCATCCACACACTTGTTCATGCAGACATTTCCAAGCCGCCCCCTCAGTGCCGGCGCTCAGGAGGTGGTGGTGCACGCAGTTACCAAGCTCTTGGGGGCAGGCTGGGTACCACACTGTCTGGTCAGTGCTCCAGAAGTGAAGCAGCCAACCTAGTCGGGATGGTCTTCCTGGAGGAAGCAGTGTGACCGCAGAGCCTGAAGACTAACACAGGCATGCATGTGCGGGAGGGAGAGCGCAGAGGCCTACTTTTGGCAGCTTCCAGGTCCCAGACGCGGATGGAACCCGACTGGGAGCCGGCCACAATGAGCTCCTCAGGGGTGTTGAGGCGGACACTCTCCACTGGTGATGTGTGACCCGTCAGGCTCTGTGGAGAGAGGATGGCAGCTTCAGTGCCTTGCCTGGACAGACTACCCCCACAGCTGCTGCCCCAAATTCTGGGTCCCCAGGAAAGGTTTCAGCAAGTGACAAAGGCAGGGAGGTTGCACTCCCCCAGGGCCGCACCCAGGCTCTCCTGCAGACCCTCCTCAGCCTCAGCTTCCAGACCTCGTCACCCCCACCGCTCCCTCTTCCCACCATCCTCTGACATGGGTGTCACCTGCAGAAATGGCCCTGGGCCCCCTGGAGGGGAGCAACTGGCCAAGATAAGAAGATGCTGTCCCTTTAGCCTTAAGTCCAAAACTCCCCACCCCCATCTCCACTCTCTGCCTGACACAAGCTCCCCAGCAAGGGAGGCCATGGCAGCACTGAGGCCTAGCTCTAGAGGCTCACATCTCACAACTCTGGAAGCCCTCGCTCTCCAAGGCTGCCTGCCCCTTTGGGGGTAGGAGAGGGAGGAAGACTTCCCATTGTCTGTCCTGTATCTTTTGGATGCTGAGCTGTACGAGTGGATCACATAGTCAAAAATAAATAGAAGTGGCCGGGCTCAGTGTCTCACGCCTATAATCCCAGCACTTTAGGAGGTAGAAGTGAGAGGATTGCCTGAGCCCAGGGATTTAAGACCAGCCTGGGCAACTTAGTGAGACCTCGTCTCTACAATAAATTAAGGATATCCTGAGCCCAGCAGGTCGAGGCTGTGGTAGCTGTGAGTGTGTCACTGTACTCCAGCTCTAAGTAAACAAACAAATAAGCAACAGAGTGAAGTTCTGACATAAATAAATAAATGCATACATACACACACACAAGTATGGCCTAGGAGGAAGTTCCAGGTGAGGGAGAACCTGGCAGGCTGAGGGCATGGAAGGCCTGACCACTGCACCTGATGTCTGAGAATAGTTGAAGGCCCCAGACGACTAACCATGCCTCCCTGGCGCAAGAGATGGGGTCATTGTTGGTTCTTTCTCAATTTGTGTCTGTTACTACTTCAGCCTTTCAGGGGAAAGAAAACACATTTCAACCCTAAAAACAAAGTAAAACAAAACCAAGCGTCTCCTTCCTCCTGCACCTGGTGCCCTGGCTGGGGCTCGGGTGGATGGAAGTTCTCTCCAGATCACACTAAAACACTGAAGTGATGACATTCTACTCATCAGTAGACTCTCTCACCAGTTTTTTGTCTTTATTTCTTCAGGGGTCGAGAGAATAAGAGAATGATGACATTCTTGCCCTGAGTTGGCAGGGACGGGGGAGGAAGGGCAGGTTTCTGTGCTGCTGGTGAGAATGCAAATGGATTTCTGGAGGGCAATTTGGCAATCTGTTTGGAAAGCTTTTAAACAAGTGCACACCCTTGGATTTAATGCCACGATCACAGATCTGCTCCAAGATGTAGGGGTATAAGGATGTTCACCACTGGGTGGTTCAGGCTGAGAAAAGAACCTCCCTGCTGATGACGGGGAGTGGCCAAGCAGATGAATCGCATCCCTACGATGGAATACCACGAGGCCATTAACAACTATGTCATAAAAGAGGATTTGTTGACACAGGAAAATCCTTGCAACATTGTTATTTCAATAAACCAGGCTACACAAGAGTAGAAAAATATTTTTATATCTTTATGTGTGTGCACTTATATGTGTATTTGTATTTATACGTGTGTACCTGCATGGACAAGTATACATATCTATCTCAGCATCTACAGGGACACAGACCAAAACACCAACTACAGTGGTCTTTGAATTACCTATATGTAATTAACATTTGTGTTTCCTCCCTTATGCGTTCTTGTTTTGGAAGTTTTCATCATTGAACTGAGTTGTGTAACTAGGGGAAGATGCTATTCGAGAACGAGCTCCCTAATCAGCTCCAGCCAGTTCCCCTCACATCCCTGTGGTAGTATGAGGCTGGGAATGAGTCAAAACAAGCACCCCCGTGTAGCTGCCAGGCAGGTGGGCGGGGGGTGGGTTCTAAGCCTTTCAACTCGGCCACAGTCCTGGGGCTTATTTTAACCCTTTCCCGTAGACTGCTTAGAGTTCTGTCCCACGAGCAGGTGACTCCCTCGTTTCTGAGGGCTGGCCACTGTCGTAGTCACCTGGATGGCCCCCACCAGATGGGGTACCCTGGGCCCAACAGAACCCGCAAAGCTGCCTACTCCCTAGCCACCAACCTGGCCTGCCTAGTCCTCTCCCCAGGCCCTTTTCCCACCCCTGCCGGCCAGCTGGGGCTCACCATGATGCAGTTGGGCTTGTTAATGGACCACAGGTTGACGCGGCAGTCATCCCCGCCGGTAGCCAGCAGCCGCCCAGAGGCTTTGCCCAGCACCAGTGAGGACACATTGCTGGCGTGTGCGACAATCTCCTCTATACAGGAAAGAGAGGGAGAGGCATCAGGGGGCTTAACAGGCACAGCTCCAGAGCCTGGATCCCAGCAGAGGGATCTGCCTTCTTCAGTCCCCCTTAGTACCCAGACACTCCGTGGAGCTGTCGGACCAGCAGACAGGACAGGGTGTGGGCCTGAGGCAGAAATGACAGTTTCTCAACTTCAGTCATTCCTGCCCTACCCTTAGGCCTCATGACTTTTTTTCCCTTTTCTGTACATCACCTAGTAATATTGACTAACTATACACAATTTTTAAAGTTGACTTGCTAGCCAGGCACAGTGGGTCACACTTATAATCCCAGCACTTTGGGAGGCAGAGGCGAGAGGACGGCAACTTGGGGAGACCTCTTCTCTACAATAAATAAGAAAATTAGCTGGGTGTGGTAGTGCACACCTGTGGTTCCAGCTCTTTGGAAGGTTGAGGTAGAAGGATCATCTGAGCCCAGTAGGTCAAGGCTGTGGTGGCTGTGAGCATGCCATTGCACCCTAGCCTGGGTGACAGAGTGAGACTCCAACTCAAACTAAATATATAAACAAATAAAAATAATAACAATAAAAAATAAAGTTGACTGCTATGTTTATGAGCTTTGTCTTAAGAAATATACTTGAAATTATAAGTTTGATACACTTAGGATATTTTGTCTATGATAGAAAAAGAAAAACAATTATTAAAATACAAAATGTTGGGTCAGGTGCAGTGGTTCACACATGTTATCTCAGCACTTTGGGAGGCCAAGGTGGGAGGATCACTTGAGCCCAGGCGTTTGAGATCAGCCTGGACAGCATAGTGAGATCTTATTTCTACGAAAAAAATTTAAAAATTAGCTGGGCATGGTAGTGGTGCACGCCTGTAGTCCCAGCTACCCAGAAGGCTGAGGTGGAAGGATTGCCTGAGCCCAGGAAGTCGAGGCTGTGGTGAGCTGTGGTCATGCCACTGCACTCCAGCTGGGGCAACAGGGACCCCCAACTCAAAAAATAAAAATAAATGTCAACTCACGCACCACCCGTACACACAGACCCTGCTGTGGGAAGAATAACTGAGTCAACTCCCAACGAGTTGCCCAGGTGAGCTGGCACAGGGATCTAGCTCCCAGGTCTAGAGCCACAAAGCGCGATCCAGCCCAAGCTGTGCTACGGCTACTGAGTTGAGGGCCGGGCTCCTGGTGAACAGGAATAATGATGGTTCCTGCTTCCTGCCTGATGCTGAGGATTCCCTGGGAACATGCCCATGAGCTGCTTAGTGGTGGGCTGTGCTGTGCCTGTGAGGCAGGCTCAGAGAGGGCAAGGTGGCCCCATGTGGGCACAGAGGGCGAGCTTCATGACAAAGGGGCTGGAGGCAGCAGACCGGGCATACAGGTCAGGGTGAGGGCTGACTAGATGGAGGAGGAAGCCGTATAGACAGCCATGGGGACCTGGCCTAGATTCAGGCAATAGCAGGAGCAGCAGGCGTGAGCCTCAGAGAGTCTCATCCATGCTCTGTGGCGAGCACAGCATGAGCCGGGAGCCAAGAGGCAGCCCAGGCCTCCAAGCTGGCCTCTATGTGAGTTCCTCCTGGAAGTGAAGAGGACAGACATGTCTCCCGACACAGGCCGGGGGAAATCCCAATGTGTAGCACCCTGAGGCAAGTAGCAGTCTGGCGTGGTGACGCCAAGGGAAAGGGTGTTGCAGCCATTCCACAGAGGGACCCAGCTCCAGACCCTGCCAGGTGTGTCTCAAGTGGGGGCTCAGATCACAGATGGTTGGGGAACTAGGCCCAGGAAAGCTGCTTGTTGAGCGGCCTGGCCCAGAAGCACTATTGACAATACCTGGGGGACTGAGCCCCAGGCTGGACTTCACCAATGACACATCACCTCAGGTCTGGCCAGGGCAGAGCTGGCACCAGCAGTGTCCACGCCAGCAAGGGCGAGACTTCCCTGCAGGCCCAAACACAAGCGTCAGTGCTTGGATTCATCACTTGGATCCAGGAGAGCTGGGCCTCTCTAGTCCCCATCTCACCCAAGGAGACTTCAGTTCTCTGGACACTGTGGGGACCCACACCTGGGAGCCCTGCAACTCTGGCCACAGACACATGTCTGTTCAAGAGCTCTGTCCAGCCCAGAAAGAGGTCAAGTCTCCTGCTCTTTGAGCATCCTGTTTCTGAGCCTTGGCCCCCTCCCCTTCTTGAAGACACTCCCTGTACGGGCTACCTGCATCCTACCTGGAGGCCTCAGTCTGTCTACCCTGGCTCTTACCCTTCTCAGGGAAAGTGTGGCTGGGCCCACCTTCCTGGACCTCAGGACTACCGCTCCTGGAGGCAGCCATTAATTCATAATAGTATTCCTGGGTACCTGCTCTGGGCATAGCATGGGGCTGTGAGGAGCAAGAGAGATCCGAAGGAGATAAGTTTCCTGCTCCTATGTGATCAGATGGTTCCAGGACAGAACACAGAGCTGCTAGAACCCCAGACTTCGGGATGAGGATTTAGAAGCTGGGCCTTCCAACTTAGGCTGCTTAAAGGGGAGGGCCACTTCCCTCTAAGCAGCCTGACCAGGGACCCACTGTAGACCCTGGAGGCATGAGGTGGGAGTGTGGGGCACATCACAGGCACCCACAAAGAAGGCCTAAGGCACTGGCCCCGAGAGCTCCCCCATGGCCTGGCTTGAAGGACAGCAACCACCAATGGGCCAGGCCTGGGGACTTGATTTTCACGTAAATACAAATCCTCAGTGTCTACTGGCAGGTCAAGCTCAGGTGGTACGACCCAGGCCAAAGCTGGGGAACACTGGCCACAAGTGCTGAGGACTCGCACCCCAAATGGGAGACAAACAGAATGGGCTTCAACAACTCCATGTGGCTGAGCTCCTTGATCCTCACCAGACCCCAGAGCCTAAGGGAGCCAGATGTCACATGGCATTGGGCTCTTACATCTGTTTGCTCTCATGGAAACCATGGTGCACATGAAATCACCAGTGGATGCCCGATATGTCTGATTTCATTACCTCCTGCCTGAACCCTCTGATGGCTTGGCCTTGCCTTTAAGATAAAGCCTTGGAAGGGCTGGGGTTCTGTGAACACATGCCCTAGCAGAGCTTACTAGTTTCATGTGGCACCATGCTCCTCCCGCTGCTGTGCCACAGCCCATGGCCCCCTTTGAGCCCTTTCAAAACACTAAGCTTCCTGCCTCAGGGCCTTTGCATTCGCTGTCCGTGCAGGCTAAAGCATCACTACCCCAACAACCACCCCATCACCCAGCTAATTGATTCAAAGCACAGGCACCAGCCCTAACTTTGAGGAGACAGATGGATAGGGTTATCCAATTACTCCTAATGCCTTCCCAGGCTTTGGGCTTCCACTCTACAGAGGCCTCGACTATTCTGTCTCCCACTGGCTCCCTGGAACCTAGCTCTATGCTCGAGAAAGACCAGTTGTTGAAAGGATGGATATGCAATCCCAACAAATACAAAGTCATTCTGCCCAAAGTGTACCCCCCTTGGGGAACCCCAACAGGTTCTCCCAGAACCCCAGGGCTTTGGGGAACAGCATGGAAATGACCCAAGCTTCTCCCTGTACACATGAGGAAAGAGGTCCAGCAAAGAGTTTTGCCCAGGGTCTCATAGTTTAAAAGTGGCGGAGTCTTGCCCCAGACCCTGAAAACAGCTCAGGGCCAGTTCACAGTAGATTGTGACCAGGTGGAGCCCATTAAAACTATGCCAACCAGTTATCACCAGTGGTGTAGAGCCCACAGAAGTGCCAGTGTGTATGGGAGTCCTCACAATATGCTCTGGGGACACCTGGGATTCCTCTAGATCCTTTCAGAGGGCCTGAGAGGACAAAACTGCTTCATAATAATACTAAGACGGCATTTGCCTTTTGCATTCTCATTTGCTCACAAGCATATGATGCCCGAGTTTTCCAGAACATCACTAGTGGCATATTTAACATGTCTCATTATCAATTTCTAACATGGTAAACATTGACAGCTATAACGCCCATGAACAAAAGCACCATAAGGTCCTCAATAACTTTTCAAAGTATAAAGGATTATGATCAAAGCACTTAGAGCCACTAATAAAGTAACGGTGGGGGTGGATGGAGCTCACACTCAGTTACATCCAGAGCCCTGTTCCCATCCCTCTGCCCAGCCCTTGCACACCTTCATGGCCACCTCAACCCCAGTCCCAAGCTGCTTTTCTCTGACTAGGGAAGTCTGACCTGTGAGATGTCTGAAAATGCTGAGAAGATCTCAGCATGTTCATTTCTCACCCATTCTGCCTGTCAGCCCAATGGAAATCCTGTGCTAAGTGCTTTATTCATTTAATTCGGTTGCTTGAAGTTCACAGCAACTACAGAATGTGATTACCTCATTGTACAGATGAGAAAACTGAGCCTCAGAGAGGCTAAGTCTCCTGCCCAATATCACACAGCTAAGATTTACATCTTGGGGTCTATCTTACTCCAAGGCCTGGGAGTCTCCCCTTGTGCTGGGTTCAGGCTGCCCAGCAACAAGCCAACTTACAGCATAAACAGGGTGAAAAAATGAAAACTACTCACGTAACTTCCAGGCTGTCTTGGTGACCACAGGTGTGGCCATCCTTCAGCCGGTTGGCACCAGAAGCCCCAACCACAAGACGAACTGCGCTTTCCTCGTGGGGTGGGGGTGGATCCCCCCCAGATCCACCAATCAAGTTGGCAGGGAGTCCCCACACATCCAGGCAGAGGGAATGCCTCGTTTCCAGGCCCTGGACTGCCTCCTGGTTTTATGTCTTCCACAGCAGCAACAGCAGCAGCCTGTGCACATCTGTCAAGATCCTGAATCATGGAACGTCAGGCTTGTGCCATCTCAGCTCAACACTGGGCTGCAACACAATCAGAGGTGATGGCTTGCTGGGAAACAGTAAGAGCTGTAACTCTCTGGATCACCAAGATTACTAATATAGAACAACACCCACCAAAGCCACCCAAGTCGGAAGCTGTGTTGCAAGCCGGGTATGAGAATCTGCAGAGGGGGCACCTCAGGCAGGCTGACTTGGAAGACAGAGAAAAAGAAGGCCCTCCCAGAGGCTCAGATAATGGGAAGCGGCTCTGCCCCAGGATGCTGGCTGCCTTAAGTGCAGCAGCCGCAGTGGGGCGGGGAAGACCACGTGTCTGCAATTCACATAGATTTCTGGGAGTCACTGTTTTTGCCTGACGCATGGGAAGATGGGTGGAGTCGGAAGCTAGGCTTAGCGGCCCATGAGAGGCACCCCAGAGACAGCTATTGAAGCCCTCTCTAGGAAGAATCTCAAAGATGACCCTCAACCCCACCCCCAGCTCCTAGCAAGGGAACTACTCCTGCCCCCCGCGATTCCCAAGGACAGGGCTAGGAACTAGGCCTCCAGTCCGGGCGTGAGCGGTATGACTCCTCACTCCTCTTTCCCATTAACCCTCTCCCCTCTGTGCCCTTTCTCCTGGGCCCCCCAGTTCTGTCTCTCTAGTCCTTCGTTCGCACACCTCCTCTCCCTGCCCCCTGGGTCCCCTATTCGTGCACATCCTGTCTCCCGAGCTCTCTAACTCGCCCTCTGCCTCGCCAGACCCCCTTCTCTGCCCTTTCCCGTATACTGTCGGTGTCTCCCATTCATTCACTCTCCTATTCTCTTGACCCTATTCATTGCTTATCCTCCTCCAGAACCCCAGCTCTGCTTCCGCCCTCTCTGGTTTTTCCCCCACTGCGGCCTCCACGCCGACCCCGCTCGTCGGGAGGCTGGGACTGATCCCTCGGCCTCGCCCGATCCTCCCACCTCTCAGCTTGCTGGCCACGAGCTCTAACCTCCCCACTACCGGAGCCCTCTCCCCGCATCCCGGACGGCCCGGCCTGGCCCAGCCCAGCCCGGGGCCCACCGTCCCCTCGCTTCCTCGTCCCCCTTGCCTACTCCACCTGCAGCAGCGGCTCCGGAGGCCGAGGCTCCGCTCCAGGCGCGACCCCCACTTGCCTCCATCCCCTGCCCTGATTGGCCGCTGCTTGACAACCGACCCTCACAACAAAACCTCTGTCCCAGAGCCCCGCCCACCTCGCCTCTCGCACCAATCAGCCGCCGAGAGCGCCCCGCCTCTCGTCAGGATTGACCAATAGAAGCAGGCGCTTCTGCCGCTTTTCCTAAGTATCCGCCCTCTCTTCCTGAATCGGACTAATCACTAGGAAGGAGCGTTCAAGAGCCGTCCCCCGGGCTCTAAGGAACCAATGCGGGCTGCCATTTCCTCGGTCCCGCCTCCGACTCAAGCTGTCCCTTCTTCACCCTCTCCTTCTCTTCCTCCAACCTAGTTTGCATTTGAAATAGTTGCGAGACGCCCACTAATGGCGGTTGCGCCAATCGCTTTAGCAAGTGTCCTGGATCAACCAATAAGCGTCCTCATTATTAAAAAAAAAAAAAAACCAGCTGCCCGGCAGCCAATGGGAAGGAGACGTCGGGAGCCGTGTGAAGCCGCGGACCTGCCATTTTGGAGTGGGGCGGGGCGGAACCCGCCCTTGGTCTGCGTTTTGCCCAAGTTCCTCCCGGTTTCCCTTCGCTGCGCACGGAGCCGCGGTGGCGCGAGGACTCGCCCCTCTCCTTGGAGCCGGACGCCGACCTGAATCCTCCACGGGAGTCCTAGAAGCGGGCGGCCTGGTTCCGAGTGAGGTCGGGCGTGGAGTCCAGGAGCGCGGCCCCGGCGAGCGGACGAGTGGACAGGTGGCCGTGCCCTGAGGGGACCGCGGTGGAGGAAGGAGGCTGGGACCGGCCGCGAGTCCGCGCTCCTCGCGTGGCCCCGCTGCCTGCGGCCGCTTAGGGCGGACTCGGCCCCCGCAGCCTCCCTCCCCGGGCCGGGCCCTGTCGGCCGAGCCCTTTCGGACCCTCCCTGCAGGGGCTGCTCCGCCTCGCGTCACGCTCGCCACCACCCTGAGGGGGAGGAATTCTGTTCTCGCCTACAGGCCAAGAAGCCGAGGCTCGGGTTAAGGTGTTCGTAAAAGACCGCACAGCCAGAAAGTAGTGGCCCTGGGGTTCGAGTCTTTTGTTCATGAGGCCAGAGCCTGGGGGATTCCCGGTTGTACTGAATCCCCTCTGCCGGCGGCAGGAGGCAGAGGGACCACCCGCCAGGGCGTATTTTTGGGAAGCAGGCCCGGATTGGCATCTGGGTGCGCTTAAAAGGGGATTCGATTAGCAGAGTAACACCGGATTAAAACCGTCCAGCCTGCGTTCCCCTCAATTTTTTATTACGAAAAACCTAACAGAAAACTTGAAAAGATAGTACGATGGTACCGTCTAGATTTCAACATTTGTTCAAGTTTGCCTTATTTGCTTCGTGTGTGCATTTTTTTCTAAACCACTTGAAGGTTGTGGGCATTCTGACATTTCACCCCAACTGACCCTAAATACTGAGCAGGTAGCTCTTAAAAACAAGACCCTTATTTGACATAACCGTTGTATCACCCCTAAGAAAACTTAGTAATTCTTTAACACCTAGTTCATATTCATATGTCCTCAGTCATCCCCAAAACATCTTTAGTCACTTTTTTTAACCAATCAAGATTCAGCACACTGCAGCCTCGACCTGCTGGGCTCCGGCGATCCTTCCACCTCAGTCTTCCAAGTAGCTCGAACTATAGGCACGTGCTACCATGCCCGGCTAATTTGGGATTTATTGTAGAGATGAAGTCTCGCCAAGTTGCCCAGGCGGATCTCAAACCTGCGGGCTCAGGCAATCCACTCACCTCAGCCTCCCAAAGCGCTGGGATTACAGGCTGAGCCACCAGGCCCGGCTTTTTTTTTTTCCTTTTGAGTCAGGGTCTCACTGTCACCCAGGCTGGAGTGCAGTGGCATGAGCCTGGCTTGACCTCCTGGGCTCAAGCGATCCTCCCACCTCAGCCTCCCAAGTAGCTGGGACAACAGCCATGTGCCACCACGCCCAGATAATTTTTGTATTTTTTTTGTAGAGATGGGGTCTCACTATGCCGCCCAAGCTGGTCTTGAAATCCTGAGCTCAAGTGATTCTCTACCTTGGCCTCCAAAGTGCTGGAATTACAAGCATGAACCACTGTGCCTGATGACATTGATCTTTCAAAGAGATCAGGCCATTTACCTTTTAGATTGTCCCACATTATAAATGTATCTGCTTCTTTTTTAGTGTCATTTTACCTGAATTTCTTATTAGATGGAAGTTCTTGTTAAATAAATTATCCCCCTAAAGTTTTTGTTAAATGGAAGTTAGGTCTAAAGACTTGATTAGATTCATGGCAAACATTTACAAACACTCCAAGGATACATACAGTAAGTGTACAAGGTTGATGAATTGTCACAAACTGAACATGCCCAGCAACCAGAAGGCCCCTGGTGCTTTGCTTCCATTCACTGGCCACACTCAAGGGAGACCACTGTCCTGACTTCTAGTACCGTTGGTTACTTTTGCCTTTTTTGTTCTTCATGTAAATGGAGTCATAAGGTCTGTACTTTTCTGTATCCTGAATCTTTTGACAACATTGTATTTAAGAAATTCGACCATGTCATTCTGTAGTTGCAACTCATTCATTTTTTCTTGCTCTATAACAACCTCAATGTTACTGACATTCTGGGCTAGATAATTCTTTGTTGGGGGGCAAGTTTCCATGCCTTGGGGCATGTTTTGAAGCATCCCTGGCCTCTACAGACTGGGTGCCGGTAGCATTCTTCCTAAGCAGTTATGACAACCAAAAACATCTCAACCACAATTTCCACATCCATTCTGCTCTCGGTGGGCATTTGGGAGGTTTCCAGTGTAGTGCCATTATCAGTCATGCTGTTGTGCACATTCTGGCTTGTGCCTTTGGTGAATGACTGTCTTGTTTCCACTTCTGTTGAGATGTTCATCCTTCTTGCTCGGCGGATGGGTGGGTGGAGAGGAATCTAGGAGCAGAATTGTTGGGCCAGTTTTCCAAAATGGTTGCTCTGATTTACGCTTTCACTAGGAAAACCATCTGAGAATTCCAATTCTCATTGCCACCAGCATTTTATCCACACTGGAGGGGATGGTGGCATCTCATTTCCCTGATGGCTAATACGTTGGACGACAGTTTCATGTGTTTGTAGGCTATATTTTAAGCTAACACTTAGTGCCTTCCCAGCCTCTCTACTTTAGGAGTCTTATTTAAGACCACAAGACCATCCCCATTTCACAGGTGGGTAAGTGGTATCTGGGAAGGAACGGAGCTGCGATTCAGTCCCTCAACTCTGATGTCAAGCCTCAAGTTCTGGAGTGTGCGCCTTGGCCTTGCCACTTCGATTTTGTGAGCTGGGCTGCTCTAGCCACGTTGAGATGTAACCACTGTTGGCAGGTGGCTGTGGGGCAGTCTGTAGAAGTGCTATGATGAGACTGGATGTTACGCAGAAAAGAACAGGAAGCAGATGAGGAGGGGGGCCAAGGCAGGGAGGAAGGGAGTGGTCGCAGGCTATGGATGAGGAAGGGAAGGAGGAAGAGGTCAGTGATGTAGTTTATGAAGCACGAGGTACAAATGGCAAACGGGGTGTGTTTATTTACTGCGGAGTCATGAGAAACAGGGACCAACAGAGCTGCAGGGGAGGTGGGCTGGCAGCAAACCAGGCGTCTGGGTGGACACACTGGCTGGTAGACACACCAGAGTCTAGCTGGAGGGAGGCTTCACTTCTCTGGCAGCTTCGGCTGAGGCCCTGGGAGGCCATCAGGTGGAGGCCTTGAGGTACTCTGCCAGGCGGGGGTGCTTGTAGAGCTTCTCTTCCAGAGCCAGGTACTTGAGCCGGGCCAGCTCCTTGTGCCTGAGGTCAGATGGGGAGTGGGAGGGTGAGGGGCTCCGAGGCAGGTGGGCCAGCCCCCGGCGGGTCCGTGCACTCCCCCACGCTCACCTGTTGAGCCTCTGCTCCAGGATGCGGATGCGGAACATGGTTTGCGAGCAGTAACTCAGGTACATGCTTTCGTCCTCAGCTGTCAGGGCCACCTGGTTCTCCTGGTACCACTGCTGCTTCTTCTGCAGCTCCTGGATCTCCTGCAGGCACAGAGTGGACAGGGCAGGAGGGCTGACACGGGCTGACACTCACCCAGGTGCAGGCTACATTCCCACTGGCCACCAGACAGCTCCATGACAGTTGGCCCCACTGTCCTCCCCCCAGCCACAAGCCAGAGGAGCAGAGGCAGGTGCTACAAGCTATCTTGTGGGGGAGCTGCTGGGGTCAGGTTTAGAGGGATGTCATGTCCATAAGGTCAGAGCAGGGATCAAGACTCTGGGCAAGTTGCCGAAATACAGAGCCTCCAATTTCTTGTCTGCAAAAGGAGGGCCTCTATACTCCCCCATCCCACCCAGGCCCTTGTAGAGAGCACTTCGTGAGGATCAAGTGAGATAGTGCATGAGAACGACATGGGGTATGCCCAAGCAACAGAACAGGGTCAAGGGTCAGGAGTTGGTATCATGCACCATCTGTCCACCCACCCACCCATCCCTCTGCCTGTTCCTCCACCCACCCTTCTAACTGCCCATCCACCCGTCCACTCATCCACCCATCTCCCCACCCATCCGTCCAACAAGCAAGAGTGAGGAAGAACCCCTCGGCCCTCTGGAACCTCCAAGCCCTGTCATGCTGATCCCCCGTCGATCTATGAAGTGGCAGGCAGACGGCCGCAGGCCCATCTCTGGATGTGGATGCCATGGTCCCCTCCCTGGCTGTGCCCTGAACGCACCTTCTCAAAGCGGGCCTGGATGTGGTTGGCCTTGTCGATGAGCCGCTGCTTGAAGTCACTGAGGCACTCATCCTTGAGGTGCATCACCTGCCAGCGCGTCAGCTTCTCCCCTGGCGGGAGCTGGGCCAAAAACGGGGCCAGGTAGTCCAGCTGCGCCTCCATCTGCCTCAGGTGTTCCTCGTGCATCACACGCTCCTGCAGAGGCAGAGCAGTCAGACAGCAGAGCCCTCCTGGCCAGCTCTGCATCTGTGGTGCGCTGGCACAAGAACAGGCTTCAGAGCTGGGTCCGGTGCATGGTGCCTCTGGGACAGGCCTTAGTGGGGCCTACGTGCTGATCTCTCGAACCTGTTTGCATTGTGACCTCCAACTCTTGTTTCTTATGTGAATTCCTGTCTCTCTACCTGAGCCTCAGTTTCCTTCTCTGAGGATTTGACAAGCACACAGCGTGGTGCCTGGCAGTCCATAGTAGATGCTTATTTAGTGATCGGTAGGGGCAGAGTTGGCTCACTGGGACTACCACCCTGCCACAACCTCGGGGGAGCCCTGGTGGGGGTGGGCACACAGTTTTAAATCCCCCCCCATACACTATGTGCCTTGGCTTGGCACTACAGCCTATGGGGGTTGGGGGTATCTGGCCCCAATCCTAAGTACTCTTCTTTTTTTCTTTGAGTCAGGGTCTCGTTCTGTCACCCAAACTGGAGTGCAGTGTTAAGATCAAGGCCCGGCCATGCTTCTCTGTAAGCTCTGGCCCTCTCCCCAATCTACTTTCTAAATAAACCATTTTTTCCAATCTAAAAAAAAAAAAAGATCAAGGCTCACTGCAGCCTCAACCACTTGGACTCAGGTGATCCTCCCACCTCAACCTCCTGAGTAGCTGGAGCTACAGGTACTCAACACCAAACCACCCAGCTAATTATTTTATTTTTTAATAGAGACGAGGTCTTGGCATGTTGCCCAAACTTCTGGGCTCAAGCAATCCTCTAACCTCAGCCTCCTAAAGTGCTGGGATATAGGCGTGAGCCACTGTGCCCAGCCGATCCCAAGTACTCTTTGGGACGAACCGTCAACATGCTCAGCTCAGCAGCAAAAAGGAGCACACGGCATCAGTAACCTCACTCCCTACAGGGGGTTTCTCGGCAGAATCTCTCGTGGGCCTCACCGCCCCAGAGGCAGGGGGTCTGGGAGCCTGGGCGGGGGAGCGAGGCTCACCATGGCCTCCCGATACTCCTTGCTCTTCTCGTTACGTTTGGTGTCGTAGATGGAGATGGCCAAGGTGTGCGCTTCCTCCTCTTCCTCACGAAGCTTCAGGGTCTCCAGCACCTGAGTTGGGACGTGAAGGAGAGTATGACTGAGATGCCCCCAGCCTGCCACCTCCCACCCACCCACCATCCCACAGGACCCTACCTCTTGCTCCGACTCCCAGACCTGATGTCTGGCCAGCTTCTCCTCAGCCTTCAGGTGCATCATGGTCTCATACTGGTAGAGAAGCTTCTTGGTGTGCTCCATGGGCTCCACCTGGGACAGTCACCACCACAGTGACACAGGGCAGCTGTGAGCACACGGTTTAATCTACCAGATTCAAATCTACTCCTGCCACTTTCTAGCTGTGTGACCTCAAGCAAGTGGCTTGACCTCTCTGGACCTCAGTTTCCTCAGCTACACAAATACTAGATAATAGTAAAAGATGGAGCTGAAGACTCAGAGGGGTTAAGGAAAGTTCCAGAAGAGTGAGGATTGGACTAGGACGCCAAGCCTCCCAAAGGTGCTGAGAGTCTTCTCCTACATTATTGTTTGTTCTCAGGGGACCTGGAGTCTGCCCTGACCAGGGATCGGGTTGGGGACCATGAGGAATCATCTTGGTGGCAGGCTTCTCTTTTTTGGTGGAAGAGGGAAGATTTCAGAGGAGCTGCAAAGAGAAGGGTCCCCAGATGGGCGCTTTTGGTTTTCCCAAGGGGCAGGGAGAAGGCTCCCAGCTGGAATCTGAGCGCCCTGCCCACCACACCCAGGCCACCTCGAAGCTGGTGCACATGTCGGGCGTCATGATGATTTTGTTGCCCTTGCTGTCCACCTCCATGCGCTGCAGGAACTCGCGCTTGGAGGCGGTGATGTGGTCGTCGCGGCAGTGGTAGCGCAGCTGGATGCGCTCCTCCGCAATCAGAAACACACGCTCTGCCACATCCTCATCTGCGGGTTTCGCCAGGTTGCGGGAGAACCTCTCGGTGATTTTCTGGGAGGCCAGAACACGCAAAGAATGAGAGGTGGGGAGGCCATTTCTGCACGTGCCCCAGGAGCTGGAGTCTGGGGTCGTCTGGGGGCTCGAGTGGGGCAGCCCCTCCTTGCCAGACAGTGGGTGTTGTGGCCCCCAGGGGTGCTCAGGGCCAGGTCACTCTGGCCTGCACAGTGCTGGACCCCTCTTTGGCTCCCTCAACAAGGCTCTGCTTGCCTACCTCAGGAGGCCGGAAGCTCACCACTTCTGCAAGCAGTCTACTCCATCATGAGCTATCCCTTACTGCTAGAAGGCTCCTCCTTGGCACACAGCCATTACACTCAGTTGGCAAATAATTTGTGATGACATGGAGGGTAAAGCATGTTAAGTGGGTGACACAGGGATTCTAACATCCCCCCCATCTCAAGTTGGAAAAGACTCTCAGTTGGCTGCGTGCAGTGGTTCATGCCTGTAATTCCAGGACTTTGGGAGGCCAAGGCGGGAGGATCGCTTGAGCGCAAGAGTTCAAGACTAGCCTGGGCAATGTAGCAAGACCTCATCTCTACAAAAAAAATCTGTGTGGTGGTGCCCGCCTATAGTCCCAGCTACTCGGAAGACTGAGGTGGAAGGATCACCTGAGCCCAGGATGCCGAGGAGTGATCCTTGCTTGCACTCCAGTCTAGGTGACAGAGTGAGACTGACACAAAAAACAAAACAAAACAAAACCCATTAATCCCTGTGACCCATTAATATCTGTGATATGCCATTCTGAGATATTCTTGCTTGTCTCTTTATATTTTTTCCATATTTTCCAAATGTTTTGTCATGAGTGTGTATTTTTATCACAATGAGGAAACAATACCTCGTTGGCCCAGTGGCTGAGGGCACAGCCTGGCACAGACAGTCCCAAATCAGGCATTTGGTAAAGCACTTGGCTCAGAGTGAGCATCCTGGAAGTGCCTCAGGCCTTGATGTCACCCCAGGGCCTGGGGACATTCCCTGCCAGAGAGGGCAGGCAACCTGTCCCAGGCCCAGTGAGCTCTTACCACCAGGGGCCGGGGGTTTGACTCTGTACTGCTCAGAGCAACCTTCTTGACCCTGGGCCCAAAGTCGACGTGGCGGTAGAAGAGGAAGTCTGGGCGTCCTTGATAATACTCTGTCATGGTCCTGGGAGTCTCCTCCCGCTTTATCAGGCCATCCACACGGGCCGTTTCGTAAAACTCCATGGTGCGGTCCATCTCAGGTTGCAAGGACTTGTAGGAGTGCACTGGTGTGGGGGTGGGCGATGGCCAGATAAGCACCAAGATCTGTGGCTGCTGGCTTGATCACCCAACCCTGGCCCAGGGAGACAGCAGGTGAAGTTGGCTATGTAACCAGTCCCGTTGTAGGGTGCTTAGATTGTGTCCAGCTTTTTGTTATTATAAACAGCACCACGATGAACATCTGCATCGGTCATTTTTTTGTACTGGCCCATCACTTGCTAAGAACAAATTCTCAGCACTGGGATTGCTGGGCCCAAGAGTGTACACACTTTAAGGCTATCATCCATCTGTTTTGCCCACCTGCCTTCTAGAAAAGTTGTCACCAACGGTGACAGGGAGTGACAGTCTTTGCTTCCCACCCTCGTTCACCCCTGATAGGACCACTTTTTTCCCCCATCTTTGCCAACATTAGGGTCATAAGATGGTCTTTTATGGTTTAATTTCATTTTTTCATTTCAACTACTGAGTGAAGGGGATCCCTTTTTCAAATGTATGTGGGCCCTGTGCTCTTGTGAATTCCTTGGTGGGGCTGTAGCTTTTCTCCCACAACGTGTCCTCCCCTCTCTCCCCAACCTCATGGGCCCATGGCCATCTCCTCACTCCTTGCCCTCGCCCCTGTGGGTGATGTTTGCTGGCCTTGATGCTCAGCATCTTTACCCCTCTGAAGGCACCCCTCGCCTATGCCCTCACTGTGGGATTCCCACCCAATCCCAACCACAGAATGGGCATGTGGCCCTGGCTTTGGTGTTCCTGGAGGGTCCACTAGATTTTTTACACCTCCCTGGACCTCTCGCATGCTGAGTTTGCCGAGGGAGGCAGAGGCGGCCTCTGTTGCTGACCACTCAAGAACCCTGTTGAAACACCCCACTCCTGGTACTCCCCTATCACCACTACATGCTGCCTGCCTAAAGAGTGTGGGAGGCCCCCAGCCCAGCACCAGGTCCACGCACCACGCAAAGCTTGGGGGTGGCCTGGCTTGAAGTAGTCGGTGTTCAGACCCGTGCCCTTCTGGATCTGCCTGAGCTCCAGCATGTCCTCCCGGTTCTGGTACCATTCTTTTATCTCCAAGATCTTGGTGCCTGTGGGCCAGCAGGTGCCTGCTTCAGCCAGGTCAGCTCCCCAGCCTGCAGCCTTCACACAGACACACAAGATGCCAGCAACGCCCACATGCACACACAGAGAGGGAAGCCGCCCACTTGGGGACTGTGGCCGGCCGTGCCCTTACACTCCAGATCCTCATAGGTGGTGAGGCGGCCCACCAGGCCGTTGCCGTTGAGGTATGGTGCCCACTTCTCCAGCTTCGCCCTCCTGTACTGAATCACTTTCTTCCCATTGGGGCAGCGGGTCTCGAACGCTGTGGACACAGACAGGCTGGGAGTCTCTCCTTCTTAGACTCAGGGAGCAGAGGGCCAACCCGGCCCTGCCCCAATCTACCCTTTGCCCATTTCACCGATAAACTCCTCAGGCCCCAAGCCACTCCAGGGAGGCAGAGGAGGGGAGTCACCAGGGAAGGCCCCAGGTCCAGAGTAACCCTCAGGCCAGGTAGCAGCACAGACAGGATTCGACGGGCTGGAAGCTCTGCACCCCGGCGACACCCTGCTCTCTCGTGTAGCCAGGCCTTTGCCTGTTCAGGTCTCTCTGCCAGAAACACCATCATTCCCTTCTGCCCTGGCTGGGTCGACGATTTCTTTCAAAACATAGCTCAGGTCACCCCTACTTCTTGTACCCCTTCATGGCCACCCACCCCCTGTCCCTTGCCCCAGGACTGGGCAGGGTGCTCCCACCACACCTTCTCTAGGGCCTCCCACCCTGATGAATGGCCTGTGTGCTCCCTGTGGGTCTGGGTGCTCCCAGACAGGCGCCTCAGTGGGCACCAGCCTGGAAGTTCCTGCCTTCCTGCCTTCTCTGGCTGCCGCTTGCCAGTCCTGACGCTCCCTGCCCACAGAGGCCACAGCCCCCTCTCTCGCCAGAAAGGGAGTGTGAGAGGGGAAAGCGCTGTCCCTTGGGTCTGATGTGCCTCCCACTGCATCATCCCACACACTAACCGAGCCCCCTCTCCTGGGCCAGACAGGGGCAGTACCTCGGGCCACAGGGCAGAGCATGGTGACAGGCAGGAAGGAGAGAGGAAGGGGATAGTGGGAAACGGGAAGGGGAGGCATGAGGGACCAGGGGAACCTTTGCTGTGTCCCCTTGCCTAGCTGCTGCAGACCTCCGCAGAGGTCTGGGAACTGGCTCTGGACAAGACAAATGAATGCACAAACCTTCTGGGGAGATCTCAATCTGGTCCACCCACGATGAGGGCATGTCGAAGCTCTTATCCTCGTCCTCCTTGCCCTGTAGGGAGAATGGGGGAGGGGGGTGGCCATGGCCTTGGAGCAGAAATTATGACCAAAGCTCTGTCTCTCCCCACAGAGCCAAGCCACAGTGGTCTGTTCATTTCCCCAGGGGAGCCAGAGTTTGTGAACACGACCACAATATGAAAAAGAGGAAGAGTCTGCTTTGGGCAGGAGCTCATCCCTTCACCTGCCTGACTTAGGACAGCAACACCCCACCTGCAGGCCCCACCTTCCCTGCCCCAGTCATGGGCCCTTCCTCAGGGAGATGATTTTGGAGTCCGACCCTCTGTTCAACACCAACTAAGGGGTGCCAAGGAAAGTCTTTTAACCGCCCTGGTCTGTTTCCTTAACTGGAAACTGGACCTCTTGAGAGGATTAAATGACATAATGTCTATAATGGGCTTGGGACATTGCCTGGTTGACACTATTATTTTTTCTCTCTAAGCATTGGTCCTCTATCTGTAAAATAAGGTCCTATCTAGACAAATAGCCCTCACAGAAACTTGGGCAAGGCTTTCTTAGCTTAAAGCCTTTTTTCCCCCATAAACATTGCTCAGACCTCTGACACCTGCTCATCTAGCTGTGACTTTTTGCAGGGGACAAAAGTGGGTGAGTGCCTCCAGTAAGCTTTGCCAAATCTCTAAGACGGCCAGGTGGCTGGGTTGTGGCAGGGGCTGGAGCCACGGCTGAGCTGACTCTTGGGGCCGCCATCTGCCGGTCTGTGCTTTAGCCGGGCTCCTGGTCCAGGGATGGAACAGGACTCTGTGACTGGAATTGTTGAACAGGCGTTAAGGACGCCGTCTCCAGATAGGGCTGCCCTGGTGCTGACTTGTCCATGCCTCGGGGCCAGCAGGGGGCGCCTATGCACCGGATTTACCACACAGGAGGCTTCCCCCAGCTTCCAGAGATGAGGATGCCAGAAACACCCAATACCTTTGGCAGGTGTGTCTACGGTGCCGAGCACATCACACCAGTGGTCTCATTTCGTGCTCAAGCAGCCCCAGGAGGTGGACTAGAGTCACCGACTTTGGCACCAGACTATTTAGGTCTAAGTTCCAGCTTAAGGACTAAGTTACTTAATCCCTCTGTATATAAGCCTTCCCATCTGTAAAATGGGATAATAATATTTGTGAATAATAATACTAGCACCAGGCCAGGTGAGGTGGCTCATGCCTGTAATCCCAGAATTTTGGGAGGCTGAGGCAGGTGGACCACTTGAAGCCAGGAGTTGGAGACCAGCCTGGGCACCATGGTGAGACCTCACCTCTACAAAAAAAATTTTTTAAATTAGCTGTGAGTGGTGACGTGCGCCTGTATTCCCAGCTACTTGGGAGGCTGAGGCAGGAGGATTGCCTGAGCCCAGGAGGTCGAGGCTGTAGTGAGCCATAATCATGCCACTGCACTCCAGCCTGGGTGACAAAGCGAGACCCTGACTACTACTAATAATAATGATAATAATAAAAATACTAGTACCCACCTCACTGGGTGGTTGTGGAAGTTTACATGAATTAATTCAGGTTAAGTATGTACAAAACAGCCTGGTACTTAGTAAGGCCAATGTGAGCGCTACCTGTCGCTAATGGGCAGAATTATGCACCTCCCCATTCATGTGTTGAAGTCCTAATCTCCAGCACCTCAGAATGTGACAGTCTCGAAAGAGGTGACTAAATGAAACGAGGTCAGGAAGGTGCCCTTGGTCCCATATGACTGGTGTCCTTACAAGAAGAGATCAGGACAGAGACTCATACAGCGGGAAGGCCACGTGAAGACACAGGGGAAGACAACCATCTACAAGCTGAGGAGAGAGGCCCCAGAAGACACCAACCCTGCCGACACCTTCATCTCAGACTTCCAGCCTCCAGAACTATGAGGAAAGAAGTGTCTATCGTATAAGTCCCCAAGTCTGTGGTATTCTGTGATGACAGACTATGCACCTATTAGAATTATTATGAACGTGACTGTGACCCGCCCCCTCCATTGGATGTCCTGGCTGGGAAACTGAATTCCAAGAGGAGAGGCTGCTGACTTGGGGAGGCCCTGGCCTGTGACCTTTAGAGGAGCCGACAGGACGGTCAAGGAAGGCCCGGCAGTGCATGGGGAGAATGTTGGCGGCTCAGGATGGAAGTGAGGAATGGCTGTCCCTGGGACTCCTGGGGCGTATGGAGAGGAGCTTAGGACCCCAGTCTCTAAAGGAGCAGAGCAACCCCTGAATGGGGTGGGCCGTGTGGGGACAGCAGACCTGATTCCAAGTCCCATCCTCCCCTGTCCCACTGCGGGGGTTCTGGGCAGGCCACTGACCTGTCTGGGCCTGAGTTTGCCTACCTGTAAAACGAGGACGACTTCTACTTTGAGGAACATATAACTGGTCTATCTGAACTGCCCCCCCCCAGTCATCACGCACGCTGGTGAGGACGTGTGTAAGGCTGCCGGAAGCCAGACAGGGTGCAAAGGTACAAAGCCTTCCCTTCACACTCCCTGGCTCCACACCCAGCCAGGACTCACCAGATTCTCCGCGTCATCCTCATCGTTCACCTCAGTCAAGGACAGGTAAGGCTTGTCGGTCCCCAAGAGCATGTACTCCCACCTCATGGGGTCTCCCAGGTCAAAGACCAAGTCCTGATGGGGTGAGGATGAACTGCTGAGTGCACCCCGCCGCCATCACGCCCTCTCCTGCTCCGTGGCGGGATGACAGCTGCTCCCCAGACAGAGAAGGACGGGGGCCTGGGTCTAAGGGGAACAGAATATCAGCCCCAGGGGGCCTCTGAGAGTCCATGACCACCCCTTCATTCGGACAGGGAAACTGAGGCCCTGAGGGGGCTGGAACGCCCTTCCTACCACCCAGTCTCCCTGTGAAGGAACCCTGTGCTGGCCTCTGTGAGAGCCTTGGAAACTCCCTGGCCTGGGGCAGGCCTGGATGTGGCGTTACTCAGCATCAGCTGGGCACCTGTTGGTTGGACTAAGCCAACAAGCAAGAGCTGATGCCAGAAGGACTTGGCCACTTCCAGGAAGCAGCATGTCTTGAGAAAAGGCACCTTCATGCTTTTCCACCCACACCAGAGGAAGGGAACTGGGCAGGTCCATGTGGAAGCTGAGATTCTCCTTCCTGGACAGGTCCTCCTCCTTCTGCTTGCCCAGCCCACCTGAGGCCAAAGCCTCCTCAGGAAAAGCAGGTCACCCGCCAGATAATCCCTGGCAGGTGGGGAGCACTTTACACTCCAATACACCTCCCTAGGGCGAGGTGTCCCCCAGCCCCAGGTCGTGTTCCAGAAGGAGCACAAAGGCCAAGGACAGATGCCCATGAGGAGGGTCAACACCAAGCCATTCTGAAGCTAGCCCCAATCCTAGTACTCGTGGTTGAGTCTGAATCCTGGAAGGCTCTTGAGTGTTACTCTGCCTTGGCTTGGTGGGGGGTGCAGGGCAGAGAAGGGGGTCAGGACAGAGGAGAAGGAGGGAGAGGAGAGCTGGTTGATGTCATAGTGACGGGGGCTAGTCTTTGCTCGGTGGAGAGAGACCCAACTCTACAGAAGTCCTCATGCTTTTCCATCTCATCCTAAATTGTCACTTTCATAAACCGCTGTAAGCAGTCGTTAGATATTATGCTTTGTTAAAGTTCTGTTCTGTGGGGAAAGCATAACTGAATGGACAAAGGCCACATCCCCATGCACATGTGTGTTTGTACTGGGCAGCACCTGTGTGGCTGCCTCATCATCCTCCCCCAGCTCCAGTGCTATTTTAAAATTCATTGAAGGAACAGAGCATCTGCTCCTGTGCTCATTTGGCAATAAGAGTGACAGCCGATGCCATCATCGCTTCCTTCATGCCCCCGCTTGGTGATGTAGCACTGTCTCTGGCTTCACTTCCATCTTCATCTCAGAGGCTGAAGGACCTTTGGGCTGGAAGAGGGACTGAAGGGGGACTGTAGTAGCCTTAAAGGGCCACTGTCCTTCATTGGGCACCGATTACTAAAACGGTAGAGTTAAACTATATTCTAACAGATATTAAGATAGATCCATGTCGGTTCAAGTCGAAGCACCAGGTCTGTGTTCCACCTCAGATCACCCTGTCTCCCTTTTCTTGGGGGATGCTATGCTCAGAGGAGTCTATCCCCTCCTGAAGGAATCAGAACCTCAGAAGGCAAAAGAGAAAACGGTCATCATCTGTGGATGATATGATCATCTTCTTACAAACTCTGTCAATATCAATGGACAAGCTAGCAATAAAAGCGAGAAAGCAGCCGAGCTCGGTAGCTCAGCCTGTAATCCCGCGCCTTTGGGAGGCTGAGGTGAGTGGATTGACTGAGCCCGTGGGTTTGAGACCTGCCTGGGCAACTTGAGGAGACCTCATCTCTGCAATAAATCAAAAAATTAGCCGGGCGTGGTAGCACTCGCCTGTAGTTCCAGCTACTTGGAAGGCTGAGGTGGAAGGATCGGAGCCCAACAGGTTGAGGCTGCAGTGGCCGGGAGCATGTCACTGCCCTCCAGACTGGGCAACAGAGTGAGACTCCAACTCAAAAAAAAAAAGTGAGAAAGCTTGTTGTACACAAGAGCAATAAAAAATCAGTAGTATTTATCGATACCAGCAAAAACCAGTTAGGAAATATAATGAAGAATAAGATGACAATCACAATAGCAATAATATCTATATCTATACCCTAGCTAGGAATTAGCCAAAAATACCCAAGCCATGTTCTTGGATAGAATGACTGAATATATAGGAAGAATGAAGATATGAATGATTCCATATTGATGTATAATTTTGATGTAATCCAAAAATCAGATTCAAGTTGGATTTTTACAATTTAATTTTATTATCACTATTTTTTAAAGCACTGTTATCATTATATAACTCTTTTACCCATGCTAGAGTGCAGTGGCACAATCACGGCTCCCTGCAGCCTTGACCTCCTGGGCTCAGTGATCCTTCCACTTCAGCCGACCCAGTAGCTGGGACTATAGGTGCACACCACCATGCCTGGCTAATTTTTTTATTTTTTGGAGAGACAGGGTCTTGCTATGTTGCCTAGGTTGGTCTCAAATTCCTGGGCTCAAGTGATCCTCCTACCTTGGCCTCCCAAAGTGCTAAGAAACATGATTATCTTAAACTAAAATGTAAAGATCCACATGTAGCTAAGTCAATCCATAAAAAGTGAAAAGAGGTGGGAACTAGCCCTACTAGAAATTAAGACATCTCATAAAGCCATCATTATAAAAACTATCTGATGATAGCACAAGACCTACAGATAGACCAGTGGAATAGAAAGCTCAAACCCAGCCCTCCATGCCATGGAAATGTACCACACAATAAAGGTGGCTCTGTCAACCAATGAAGAAAGCACTGATGACCTAAGAGATGGTTTTGGGGAAGCTGGCTCACTGTGTGGAGAAAATAAAGCTAGATCCTTACCTCATATAAAGATAACTTCCTGGATTGAAGACCTTCTTATGAAAGGAAAAATTACAGAGAAAAATGTAGGAAAATATCTTTGTGACTTAAAGGCAGGGAATAATTTATTAAAGAAAATTGCAAAAGTATAAACTATACGACAAAGATTCAATGACTTTGATCATATCAGAATTAAAGACTTATGTTCAATAAATAAAACCATGGCCAAAGTTAACAGACAAATGGCAAAATTGAAGATATTTTCAGTGCCTAAAAATGGCATGTGATTAATATTGAGAACATAGAAAGAACTCCCATAAATCAATAAGAAAGAAAAACAGTAATTCCAGCAAAGGAAGATGTAAACAGTTTATAGAAGAGGAAACCCAATGAGCTTAAAACTAGACTGGAGGTACTCAGATTCCTGGGTCAACAGAGAAATACAAAGGAATATGAGTATCCCTGTGTTCCTGTTTCAGGTGGCAGAAATGGAAATATGAATAATGCCAAATGTTAGAGGACAAGGCGCTATAGGCAGTCCCCAACATACGAGCAACTTCCTTTCCAAGAGTGCATTTGTAAGTTCAATTTGTTTTAAGTCCAACAAAGTTAGTCTGGATATCCAACTAACACAACTGGCTATATTGGAGTATTATGTATTTAACAGGCTATAATGACACCTGGTAGAGAGAAATAATACATAAAAAATGCACATGTGCATTGTTAAAGTTTTTAACTTGAAAATTCGAATGTAGAGGACTTACTTTATAGGATCTATATCCACCGTTAGTGTGAATATAGACCAGTGCAGACATTTCAGAGAGTCACTCTTACAGTGCTTTGTTAAATTATGCATACAAAAACCCCTAAGACCCAACAATTCCAATCCTGGGCAGACGTACCAAGGAAATTCTCACACCAGTCCATGAGGAAATGTCTGTCACTGGGAACACAGGTGTGTAAGGGGTGATGGACCATGGAGCAGCACAGACAGTTAGAAGCAATAGATTATAACTCAAAAACATAGGCCAGGCATAGTGGCTCATGCCTGTAATCCCAGCACTTTGGAAGGCTGAGGCAAGAGGATTGCTTGAATCCAGGGGTTCAAGACCAGCCTAGGCAATATAGTGAGACCTTGCCTCTACAAAAATCAAAAATTATTCAGGCATAGTGGTTTGGTCTGTAGTCCCACCTACTTGGAAGGCTGAGGCGGAAGGATCACCTGAGCCTGGGAGGTTGAGGCTGTGGTAAAACATGATGTATTATGCCACTGTACTCTAGCCTGAGCAACAGAGTGAGATCCTGACTGAAAAAAAAAAAAAGCTGAGTGGAAAATATAAAACATAAGAAATAGAGAGTTCCATCTCTGGTAAAGGTGGACTAGATAATTTGGGCCAGACTTCCTGCTGACAACTAGAGCTGAGAAAAATATTTTAAGAATTGTCTGTTTGAAGGCTTTAAGGAGTTTACAAGGCAGAAAAGAATCAAGAAACCAAGATCCATGAGAAGAAGGAAAGCCTGAGAGGCAAGCCCAGCAACCAGAGTTGCTTTTCTGCAAAGATTAGGCATCCAAGAGCTGAGCAATGGAGAAGTACTTCTGACAGATTCACAGTACTAAGGGAGCAAGAATTGGAATCCAGAGTCCTCCAAAGGGAAAAAGTGAGGGGAACCCTCAGACTTTGTTGGGACCCCGAAGAATAACATACCACAGGAGTAAGGGTGAACCACAAAAGGCCAAGCCTTGGAGGGGCTAAAGGCCACCTTAAAATCATCTTCATCTCTGCTTTGATCCAGAATTGCTAGAACCCCTAGCTTCCTACCAGAATCAGACCAAATCATCTCTGGAGAAAGATAATGTCACCTAGGCCTCTAATGATCTCTAAAATACTTCACATGCAATGTTTAGTAACACACACACACACACACACACACACACACACACACACACACGAGAAACACAACAAGATGAGGATAAGATCATATAGTCACAAAACTAGAGACAACAGACAGTAAAAACAGATCCAGAGTATCAAGGTAATGGAGTTATAAAAAATGAAGTGTGGAATAGCTATGCTTAATAATCAAGGAAATAAAAAGGTTAAGATTTTTGACATAAAACTGAAAACTATTTATTTTCTTTTTTTTCCTTTCTCAGACTTGGTTAACAGGAAGTATGAAAACTAAATGTAAAAAGAACCAAATGTAAATTCCAGAATTAAATTGCAGAAAACACACACACACACACACACACACACACACACACACACACACACACGAAAGAAAGAAAGAAAAAGGAAAGAAATAGATGGATTAAGCAGCAAATTAGACAAAGTTGAGGGAAGAGTTAGTGACCTAGAAGATAGTTCAGGGGAAAATATATGGGGGGGGGGCAGTGTGGGGGAGAGAGAGAGAAAGAGAGAGGAAAAGGACACAAGAAACACAGCAAATATTGTACAGTTTCTCCATGGGTATTTGAGTATGGGAATGTGAGGAGGAATGTACACAAATAAATGTTTTGTGTTAGACATTGGAGAACAACTTTAAATAAGTCTTAGTAGTTTTTTTTAAAAAGGGTCTTATATAAAAGCCCCAGATAGAAAATTTAAAAAAATAGGGTAAAAGCTTTGTTTATAATCAGATTTTCAAAACTGAAGAAGCAGATAGCAAGGTGATAGACATAAACCTAACTTTATCAATAATCATATTAAGTGTAAGTGGCCTAAATTCAATTAAGAGGCAGGGATTGTCAGGTTGGATAAAAAGCCAGACCCTACTATATACTACCTAAAATAAATGTATTTAAAAGGCACAAATAGATTAAAAGAAAAATAAAGAAGGATAATATGCTAATACAAATCAAAAGAAAGCTAGAGTAGCTATATGAATATTACACAAAATAGAACCAGAACAGTAAGTATTTCTAGGAACAGAGACAGTCATTTCATAACGATAAAGGTATCGATTCATCAAGAGGACATAACAATCTTAACCATGTACTCAACTAGTAACAGAGCTTCAAAATACATGAAGCAAACACTGACAGAACTGAAAGACAAAATAGAGATACACAAAATTATAGTTCAAGATTTCAATAATGTTGTCAATAAGTGAAAGAAAAGTAGAAAATCAGCAAAGATAGAATGAGTGCACTTTTCTTCATATATGTTATGCTTCAATAGAAAGTTTGTAAAAATTAAAATAAACAATCAACATTTGAAAAGGATATACAAATCAAGAGAGATGATAACCTTATTGGAATGTTTACTTATGGGCAGGGGAGTGGGCTCTGGGAAGCCACAGGGAAAGCCTGAAGTCCTCATGACCTCGTGGCTGGATCCCCCAGGTCTGGCCACCATGCTTCCTCCATTCCCCATAACCCCACTGTGCCTGCCACAGCCGCCCAGCCCCCTGCCAGGCACCTTGCAGCAGTTCCAGCAGTCCTGCATGTTGATCCAGTAGTTCTTGTGGTTCCAGAGGCTCTCAATGCCCAGGAAGTGGTCGTCCTGGGTGCTGTAGCTGCGCGCTGTGAACGGGTCAATGAAGAAGCTCTCAGGCACCTCGCGCTTCCCCAACAGCACAAGGACCCAGCAGTGCACCCGCAGGCCATGCAGGGGGTCGGGCTTTGCCTTCTCCGCTTCCTACATGGGAGAGGTAGGCAACCATGAGCCAGATGGATGGGAAGAAGGGTGCCAGGGGCCTAGACATCTCCTGGGCCTGGAGAACCAACAGGAGAGCTGAGTTCCTTTTTGTTTGTTTTTGAGTCATAAACTTTCTCCATCGCCCTGGCGGGAGTGCAGTGGCACGATCATGGCTCACTGCAGCCTCCAAGTCCTGGGCTCAAGTGGTCTTCCTGCCTCAGCCTCTTGAGTAGCTGGGAGTACATCGGGCTGATTTAAAAAATTTTTTGAAGCCCCAGAGCCTATTCCCCTGCCCATAAGTAGCCGTTCCAATAAGGTTATTACTAAGGTCTTGCTATGTTGCCCAGGCTGGTCTCAAACTCCTGGGCTCAAGCAATTCTCCTGCCTCAGTCTCCAAAGTGCTGAGGTCACAGGCATGAGTCACCGTGCCCAGCCTGGAGAACTGAGTTCTGATCCAGACTGCTCCACTGGCTGGCCGCGTGACCTCCCATATCACCTTCCATCACCCCAACTCAGATCTTGTTTTTAAAATCAGTACAATGAAAGGGTCTGACTAGCTCTGTGGTTTACAAACTAGACTCTTTAGGGCTCTGGGTTTTTGGGATTTACTGGCTTTATATGTTGTGATTCTGGGTGAGATTTCATCTACAGAAAGATCATGGGGGGCCTCATAGCATCCTTATCTGCCGCCCTCTGGGAGAACTGTGACTGTGTGGTGTTCATTATTGTATTCCTGGGCCTGGACCAGGGGATTCTCTATGGAGGGAAAGGGAACAAGGGAGGGGGGAAAGAGGACTGGAGGGAAGATGGCAGTGTGGATGTTGGAAGGATGGACAGGAGGAGAGACGTGAAGATGGATGGATGGGGGGATGGATGGGAGGATAAACAGGAGGAGAGGTGAGAGGATGGATGGATGGGAGAAGAGGTGGGGGGATGGATGGGAGGGTGAATAGGAGAAGGGCGCGAGGATGGGTGGGAGGATGCATGAGAGGATGGATGGATCGGAGAGTGGATAGAACAAGAGATGGGAGAATGGATAGGAAGAGAGATGGGTGGATGCATGGATGGGAGGATGGATAGAGGGGTGGGAGGATGGATGGATGGATGGATGGATGGATGGATGGATGGATGGATGGATGGATGGATGGATGGACGGACGGACGGGAGGATGGGCAGGAGGAGAGATGGAAGGATGGATGAATGAGCAGATGGGAGGAGAGATGGCAGAATGGAAGGATGGATTGATGGATGGAACGGGAGGGTATGTGCGTATGCAGGTGTGTCTCCTGTAACAGAGTCTAGAACAAGGAGGGCACCTGAGCTGCCCAGCATAGAATGGGCTTCCCCAGGCAGCTCTGGGGAATAGTTCGGACATCAGGAATCTATTGTCAGAAGCTGGCAGGCCACCTGCGGGAGATTCCTGCACGGGTGGGCGGAGGTAGGGCTGGGTGTGGGGCGGACCTTGGAGAGGTCCATACACACACCCCTCCCGTGACCTGGGCCTGCTCTACAACCCTGGCAGTCCCTCCGGGGTAGCTGAGCCTGGGGGCCGAGGTCCTAGGCCGGTGGACCCACCAGGAGGCGCTCCTCCTCCTCCCTCAGCCGCCGCTCCTCCTGGGCTCTCATCTCCTGCTGCTTGGTGATCTCCTGCTCCTGCTCAAACCTGCTGCTCAGGTCCCGGGGGGGCTTGATGGTGTACTTCTTAGGCAGCGCCTTTTCCTTCTGCTTGACTCTCTGTCACCCAGCAAGAGAAGAATCAGTGGCCCCACACCATCCCCTTCCCACGCGGCTCCGGGAGCCCGAGACCGCCCGGCCAGCCCCTCGGAGCAGGCGTCACAGTTGCTCTGTGAGCCTGTGGGCCTTCTGGTGCCAAATGCAGAGGGAGTCACAACTCCAACTCCATGGCCACTGGAAGTCCTTACCTCTCTCAGGCCCGTCTGTGAACGGGTGAGAATAACAGGAACTTCTTTCCCCACCTCCTAAGTAGTAAAGGCCGGCAAATGCCCAAGCGAGGTGTCTCGTGAGGCGTCTCCCGGGGCAGAGCCCAGGAGTGTGACTTCCTCTTCTTCACACCCCGCTGTCCGTCCCAGCGGGGACCTGGACCTGGCCCACAAGTGTCAGGAGTCGGACTAATCAGATCTTATCATTGAAGGGTTTTGTGTGTTGACTCCAAGTAGGAATCTGCCAGGCCAGGAAGGAGAAGAAGACCTGCGTGTGCGCACATGCGTGTGTGCATGCTTGTGGGTGCGTGTGTGTGCATGTGTGTACGTAGAAATGTGTGCTGGGTGGCTAGATCCATTCCCAGGAGAGAGCACCGCAAAGGCTGCAGAAGCAGACCTGGGATAGTTATGAGGAAGGAACAGTATACCTGCAGGGTCTGAGTCAGGCAGACTCAGGCTGCAGTCCCTGGCTTTCCATTTCTGGCTGTGCAACTGGGCAACCTTCTATGTCCTCTCAACATACTCACCTGTAGGCTAAGAGTGATCAAACCCACTATGCTGGGCTATTGCGAAAAGCAGCTAAGTCAATGGACAAAAAAATGCGATTACAAACCAGAAACTTATCTGCATCTGTTATTGATATAATTGTGTGTGTGTGTGTGTGTGTGTGTGTTTCGAGTCTGGGTCTCACTCTGTTGCCTAGTCTGGAGGGCAGTGGCACAATCACAGCCCACTGTCCTCAAACTCATGGACTCAAGCACTCCTCCTTTCTCAGTCTCCCGAGCAACTGGGACTACAGGCATGCACTCCATGCCCAGCTAATCTTTCAAATCTGTTCTTTGTAGAGATGAGGTCTCACTATGTTGCCTAGGCTGGTCTTGAACTCCTAGGCTCAAGCAATCCTCTGGGCCCAGCCTCCCAAAGTGCTGGGATTACAGGTGTGAGCCACCACATCTGGCTAGTTATTGATACATTTTTATTAAACAGCTGGCTGAGCTCAGAGGCTTTTGAAGCCAAGAGCCATGCTAGAGCATTTGCCCCGACATCTCCTGGGGCGGTGGCCCTGAGGGAGCGAGGCTCTCCTGATGCCGCCCCACTTTCCTGCCCCTCTTTCATCACAGCACCCACCTGGCACTCAGTCAGCGGGAACCCAGGTGCACAGTCAGTGTGCTGAATGTCTCAGGTCCTGGCTCCCCCTCCCCAAGCTACCGATACCCACAGGGGCTTGAGCCCTGGGGATTCATTCTAGTTCATGGAAAGCATTTCTGTCTTCAGTGTGACTATTTTCCACATGCAAAGAGATGCTGTTGTGGTTCCACTGCCTGAAGTTCGTTTCAGAGTGCTTCTTGTGTCCACAACAGCCTCTGGTCATTACAGAGCTCTTAATCAATAGAGCTAAAAATAGTCACCACCATTGAGGGTCCAGTGATTTTTGTTTTTGGTATTAAAAGGGGCCTCTCTACCTGTGTGTAGAAGGGAACTGAGAACCAAATGTCTACTTATCTGTTATTTCCTTTTGTTGTTGTTTTTTGCTTTTTAGAGCAGAATCTCTGTCGCCCAGGCTGATCATAGCTCCCTGCAGCCTCCTGCTCCTGGCTTAAGTGATCCTCCCCCCTTGGCCTCCCAAAGTAGTGGCATTACAGTTGTGCGCCACTGTGACTGGCTTGTTATTTCCTTATTTTAAAATGGCTGGGTAGATTTTAATCCAATGCATAGGGTGAATGTGGAATAGTTTGAATTTGACCTAAGACATAATTTATGTAGCTTTCATAAATTTACCTTGTGGGAAGTGCAGTAGCTGAAACTGAGTTACAAGAGGCAGGAAGAGACAGCCAGTTGGAGAACGGGGCTGCTTGTGTTAGGAAAAGTCACCAGTGGTTTGAAATACAAATCCTGGGGCATTGGAGGGCTGCGTAGTGACAGAGCTGTGCCCAAGTGGCCAGGGCCCAGGGGAAGCACAGGTACATACTTCTCTAAGGAGGGCACGACAGCATAAGGAACGCCCACCCTCTGGGACACCCAGGCAGCCAAGCCCACCATACCTCCTTGGGCTTCACGGTGAGCGGGCACACCTCCCATGTCAGGTCCATGAGGCACAGGTCCTGCGAGCCGTAGCCGTTGACGCAGTAGGCATCATAACCGGCGCCGATGAGCATGGAGCACAACAGCGTGCTGAAGTCGAAGCAGTTTCCCTTCTGGTACTTGAGCACGGTGGTCGACGAGAACAGGTACGAGGGCTGGCCACAGTGAGCTGGTCAGCAAAGCTGGGACCCCACTGCCCCAGCCTGTGTGCCGCATTCATCACAGCCCACCTGGTGGGGCAGGTCTGGGACCAACGTGTGGGCTGGACCCTCTTGTGGAATCAGGGAGCCTGCTAGGTATGGGATGGCAGCCAGACCCCATGCAACCCACACTTGCCTGTGATCTTAAGGGGCTCAAGGACTTCCTGATGGGATGACCTCCTGGACTGGAGAAGCTTCTGGTCTAATGTTCTCCGACTGGTAATTGTTTTGTTTTGCTCCAATGTTTTCCTCTCTACCCACCATCCTTTCCTTCTCTTTATCAACTCTCCACTGTTTACCTATCCCTTTCCCGCTCTCCATTCTTTTTAAATTTTTTCTTTAGAGACAGAGTCTTGCTCTGTCACTTGGGCTGGAGTGCAGTGGTGCAATTGTAGCTCACTGCAGCCTTGAAGTCCTGGATTCAAGTGATCCTCCTGCTTTGGTCTCCCAAGTAGTTGAGACTACAGATGCATGCCACCACACCAAGCTAACTTTTTAGAAATGTTTTTTTTTTTTTAGAGATAAAGTCTCACTTTGTTGCCCAGGCTGGTCTTGAACTCCTGGGCTAAAGTGATACTCCTACCTCGGCCTCCCAAAGTACTGGGATTACGGGCATGAGCCACTGCACCCAGCACTCTCTCATTCTGAACGAGAAACTGGCTGAGCTGGCCAGAAGCCTGAAGATGGGGCTGAGGGCCATGGACAGCCGGGCCCTTCCTCTCTCTTTCCTTTACCCCTGGAAGTCATGGAAGGGAGGCTCTGAAGACAGAAGGAGACAAAGGAGGCAAAGGGGTGGGAGCCAGAAGCCCAGGCTTGCTGTCTGTCCTCTCGGGCAAGTGGCTGTCTCTCTCTGTTAGGAGCCAGCCATGGAGGCTCACCTGAGCGTTAGGAATCCAGGTGGGCGGCGGACCCTGAGACCACCAGGTTGCGTTCAGGAGCTGAAGGCCTATTCTCTCCTTCCTTCTTTGTTGTTTGGTATGACCCACTAGCAGGGACTTTGATATTCTAAGCATGAAGTTCTGAGAATATGACAGGCATGGCTGACTCTAGGGATCCATTATTCCCGTTTCTCACAGACCGAGGTTTCGGCTTTAAACTTAACACAGTTCAAACTCAGGTCACATTTGGGAGCCTTATACATGATACAAGCTTCTTTATAAGATTCAAAAGTATATTTGTAGGATTAGTATATACATTTAGAGAGCTGTTTCCAGCTTTAGATGGTATAGATGATTATCTAGATTTGCCAGAAATGGCCCAGCACGAACTTTGGACTGGGCCACATTCCTAAGGGCCCAGCGTCCACTTTGGGCTGGGCTGCATTCTTCTTTTAAACCGGTTCTTTAGCTACAATTAATGTAGGTTTTTTCTACTTATAATAGAAACTGAATTTATTTTATTCATAGAAAGTATTGTAGAATAGGTCATGCTACGTCAGGGAATTTTGTTAGTTCAAGCATGATCAAACATGATACTTTAAGGTTTTATAAGAATACAGTTAACTTTAGAAATTTCATTGTTCCCACTTTCTACTAATTGCGGTTTTGACTTTAGTACAATTACAGTTTATATTTGGGTTTTATTTTAGAAGCTTTATTGCTGATGATCAGCCTTATATATCAGGATTAGGAATTAGAAACTTTTATAGAAATTAAAATAGATACATAGGATTTTAGAATAGCCATTTTGTTAAGAGATCATAATCAATTGTTCCTGGAAATGGCCCAGCATGATCTTTGGGCTGGGCCACATTCTTTAGGAACTGGTTTGAGCTATAATTAAGAGTTTTTTTATAGTACAGGTAAAATTAGCACAGAATAGAAAGGTATTAGGATTTAAGTCAGTCATTAGGTGTTGGGAATGCATAAGTTTTAGAAGTTATTGATTATTAGGATATTATGATGTTAGAATTGTTGTATTGCTTTTGAGGAACATAAACCAAGCATAAGGAACAGTGAGATAATTTTGGGATTGTCCTTCCACATGCTTGGGAAAATGCCTGGTGGGTGGGGGACGCCCCTCATCTACCTGGCTTTGTGTTCACATAATAGTCTTGTGATTTGATTGGGATTGTCCTTCCCCATGCTTAAGGAAACACCTGGTGGGTGGGGGGGGGAGGATGCGCCTCATCCACCTGGCCTTGTGTTCACGTGAAAGTCTTGTGATTTAACATGTGAAAATTTGGGATAAAAGACTCATGGTTGGTCCCAATAAACGGCTTCTGCTCATTTCACTGAACAGTTGTCCACTTTCTTTCTTTCTCTTTCTTCCTCTTTATATCTATCCCTCCATCTTTCTTTCTTTTAATATCTGTCCCTACTACAGAATCGGCTTCTGCACTAGACAGAGTCCAGTCTCTTCTTTCTCTCCCCTTTCTTTCTTTCTTTCTCTTTATTTCTCCAGAATAACCACCAACGCTGCCCCACCTTCCAGGGACCCTCTAAATCTCTCTGAAGGGACTGGCCCCCCATATCTCTCTGAGCCTGTTTCCTCCTGGGGGATCTCTGAGGGGCTGTGGCCTGAGCCTGGCAGAGCCTTCTTCTCCCAGATCCTGCCTGGCTTCCCATCTTAGTCCTAAGGATGCAGCTTGTGTGTGGCACTTACCGGCTTGAGGGGGTCAGGCAGGGGCACCATGGTGAGGAAGTCGGAGACAAACTGGGCACAGCTGTCCCAGTTGTAGAGGTCGGGGTAGGGCATCAGAGTGGGCCGGATGGTCGTGCTCACGAACTTCTGCAAGGGGAGAGATCATGCCAGTGGGGCCACACGCAGTAGGGGCCTGTGTGATATGTGGTAGGGCCTTTTTCCAATCCATGGTGAGACCCCGGAAGCCTGAGCAAATGCAGGAGGACAGGCCCATGTGCCCTGGGGTGGCAGAGCAGTCCCTGGCCGGGAGTGTGGAGGTGGTCAGTGAAGCAGTGGCAATGCCTGGGCCCTATCCCCCCCCATCACCGGCACCCGGAGGCAGCATGGGTGGGCATATTCTGGATCTGGGCTGGAAGGGCCTTGAGGGGTCCCTGCCTCTAACCCCCAGAGTACCAGGGGGGAGCCTGAGGCCCAGTGAGGCCTGGAGAGCTGCCCGAGGCGACCCAGCCAGCCAGAGCTGAACAAGGAGACTGAGTCTCCCATCTCCCAGGCTTCCTGGGTACACCGTGGCCTCCTCCCAGGTGATGCCCTCCCTGGGGCTTGCAGGGGTCTGGGCCAGAGCCAACCCATGGCCGCTGCAGTCTTCAGTCCTACAGGCTGGCCCCAGACTGGGAAGGACAGAGAAATAAGACAAAAGAGATTAGAAAGGGTCCAGGACCTGAGCACCGGCTTCTTCCTTCCAGCCCTGTGACCCAGAACACATCCCTGAGTCTCTTTGGTCTCAGTTTCCCCATCCTTAGATGGGATGGCATAGGATTCATCCAAAGACCACAAGGCAGCTGCCACAGGCTAACAGGGACTCACAGACCTGTTTTACTTGGCCCACATAGGGACATTTAACTGGGCCAGGTGTTTAGAGCCACTAGGCTGGGGTCAGCCACCAGCATTTAAGTATCAGAGATTTCCACACAAATCCCGAGTTCCTTCCTCTCTTGAGCCAGTAACCCCAGGTCTGCATTTTCCCCACAGCAAACAGCTGCCTCTTTAAGTGGGGCATGGGGTCTCCAGGCCACCACAGCACGCCGGGGGTGATTTACACTAAGCCCGCTGGGGTCTGCTGGCATTTGAGTTTAAGCTGTCCCTGGACTAGAAGCTCTGACCCCTGCAAGGTCTGCGGTTTGGTCCAGAGATCTTGGAGAGTCACCTCACTTCCCTCTGCCCTGCCCTCCACATGCTGGCCTTACCGGCACTTCACACTCGTTCAGCGGGTTCAAGAAGAGGGGCACGCGGTCCGGGCACAGGTGGCTGTATTGGCGGGAGAAGTTGCCCGCCACCTGCAGCAGGTGCTCCTCCTTGGGCGTGTTGGTTTTGTAGGAGAGGGGCAGGTTGGAGATGTCAATGGTGTCCGTTGTGAAGACCCTGTGCCACAGCAGGGGGGCGTCAGTCCAAGGGAGGCTGTGCCTGGCACGCAGGAGCCCTGGCTCTACCCAAGCTGCCATTGGCTCCACCCTTTCCTCATTTAATCCTACAACTACCGCACCTGTGGTTTTTTCTTATTCTTTTTTTTTTTTTTTTTTTTTGAGTTGGAGTCTCACTTCGTTGCCCAGGCTGGAGGGCAGTGGCACACTCCTGGCCACCCCAGCGTCGACCTGCTGGGCTCCAGCGATCCTTCCACCTCAGCCTTCCAAGTAGCCAGAACTACAGGTGCATGCTACCATGCCCGGCTAATTTTTTGATTTATTATAAAGACAAGATCTCACCAAGTTGCCCAGGCTGGTCTTGCACCCATGGGCTTAGGCAATCCACTCACCTCGGCCTCTCAAAGTGCTGGGATTACAGGCTGAGCCATTGAGCCCTGCCCACACCTGCACTTTTAAACAGATAAGGGCACTGAGGCACAAAGAGGTCGAGAGACTCGCCCAGGGTTACACAGCCAGGGAGGGGCAGAGAGCCCTCCCCCGCAACTGCCCCACTCTGTGCCCTGGCCCTCTGCTCGCCCAGGTGCCATCACTCTGCCCAATCTTCCCGAGCCCAGCCCTGCTCTGCCCTCGCCAGGGCTGCCAGCCAAAGTCCCCCGTTGATGCACTCACAGGCGCTCTGCTGGGGTGGGGATCTCAATCTCTGACAGCTTCTTCTCCAGGTCTCTGAGCGTCTCCTGCGTCAGTGTGGTTTCCTCCTTCCGCATCTCCAATGGCCGCACCATTTTCTCCACCTTCTCATTCCATTTGATGCTCTCGGCCGCCTCCTCCCGCTCGGCCACCTCCTCCTCCTCCACCATCTCCCTCAAGACCTCCATTCTAGTGCGCCTTTGGCTGTCAACAGAGAGAGTGTCTCTGTGGGGGAAGGATGCACGTACTTAGAGTGCTGGACTTTCAGGACAGGAGGGGCCACGACACCACCTGTGCGTTCCCAGGAGGCCTGGGAAACCATTTGGGGTGGTTGTGACCATGCAGGAAGGAAGCGGCTCCCTCTTAAACATCCTTTCGCTCAAGAGAAAGACTCGGTTTGGTGCTGGCACATCTGTAATGTCCTTCCATCACCTGCAAATGTCCCTTCACAACTAAGACAGAGCAGGCCTCAGGTTGGGCCACCGTCAGGGCAGGCTCAGGAGTTGCTCTGCTTTTCACAGATGATATTGACAGTTCTCTTCATGGCAAGTCATGGAGAGACTTACTGTAGGATTACAAGGATTCCTATTTAAATAAGGGAATTAGCCCAGTGCGGTGACTCACGCCTGTAATCCCAGCACTTTGGGAGGCTGAGGTGGAGGATCGCTTGAGGCCAGGAGTTTGAGTCTAGCCTGGGCAACATAGTGAGATCTTGTCTCTACAGATAAAATCATAAAATTAGCCAGGCACAGTGGCATGTGCCTGTAGTGCCAGCTACTTGGGAGGCTGAGGCAGAAGGATGGCCTGAGCTCAGGAGGTCAAGGCTGTGGTGAGTCGTGATCCTGCCACTGCAGGATCTAGCCTGGGCAACAGAGTGAGAACCCCAACTCAAAGAGTAAATAAATAAGTGAATTAATTAGTCGAAAGAAAGTCATTCCTAGGCTGGGCACGGTGGGTCAAGCCTGTAATCCCAGCACTTTGGGGGGGCCAAGGCAAGAGGATTGCCCGAGTTCGCACATTCAAGACCAGCCTGGGCAATTTGGCGAGACCTCGTCTCTACAATAAATCAAAAAAAATAAGCTGAGCATGGTAGCGTGCACCTGTAGTTCCAGTTACTTGGAAGGCTGAGGCAGAAGGATCACCCGAGCCCAGAAGGTTGGCGCTGGGGTGGCCGTGAGCGTGCTACTGCACTTTAGCCTGGGTGACAGAGTGAGACTCTAACAACAACAAAAAAAGAAGTCACTTCTAATAGTAAGGTGACACAGAATTTGACCAAAAAATAAAAATAAAAAATGAAGATGGCAGGTAAATGATATATCATCTGACCAAACTGGAAATTGGAGCAAGAGAGTGCAAGGAACTTATCACCATGTCACCCGGACAAGGAGGAGGGTGGAGGTGACACAGCTTGCTAGGTCCTGTGTTAGCCCTGAAGATGGGCATCAGATCCTGTGTCAGCCCTGAAGATGGGCATCAGATAGTGGGTAGGGGAGTGGTGAGCCGGGGGGGGCTGAATATTCCTGGTGCTGGAGGTCAGCCCACACCAAGACACCACATGTGTTCACGGGCCCAAGGGAAGGCCTTGTGGGAGGCCACAGAGCCAAGCCTCGCTGAGGTGGACTACTATAGTCACCTGGCCAGAATTCCAGGCCCTCCTTCTGGGTGGTAGAAACCCCAGTTTCATGGGGAGCAGCATTGTGTTTGATCAGAAGTGCTTAGCTTCTCAGGCTCTCTTGCAGCTCGAGGTAGCTCTGTGGTGTGTCCCAGTTCTGGCCAGTGAGATGTGGGCTGAAGTTGCTGGGTGGCCCTCTACCCGTCTCCTCCCCCTGCCTTGAGGATGGACGTCAAGTGGGTGGTGGGGTGGCCAGTGCCGGACTGTGAGGTGATTGCACAGGGGAGGCCAAAGCTGCCTGCCAAGGACAGCAAGGCAGAGACACCAGGGAGCTGGGGTTCTCAGTGGTGTGACAGGAGGGTCACCTGGCGGGTCACCTCCACCTTTTATCGTATGCAAAAACTCACACTCCACATGGGTCCTGGTCACAAGTTGCCCAAAGCCACCCGCCAAGCCACTGACATGCAGTCTCCCAGCTCTTTCCCTGTGCCCCCGCCTCGAATATCTATTTTCATTACAGCAAACGAGGCAAAAATCCAGAGAAGAGGAAATCCATGCAGCTCACAGGGTGGAGGGGGAAGGGTGAGGAGTCGAGTAGAGAGAACAGCAGCGTCTCCCCGCCTCATCATCACTGCCTGGCTTCAGCCAGGATCAAGAGGGCAAAAGGGACCAGGAGGGAAAGGTCGGCCCCATCCCCCCTCTACTCCCCACCTGGACCACCTGAGCCTCCTGGGTGGTGAGACACGGCCCACCAGCCAGGACTGAGCCTGGTCAGGAGAAACCTTCCCGGCTTCAGTTTCCCCTCCTGCAATAGGAAAGGAGGGCAGATATTTTCTGTCCAATTCTGACTTTCTGTCCTCTAGGACTGGGGTGGGGTTGGGGGGCTGAATATTCCTGGTGCTGGAGGTCAGCCCACCCAAGGCCCAGGAGGGCCAACCTTCGGGGCCCCAGTTCCCCAGGGGCAAACCTCTAGCCAAGCAGCACTGCCCCATCATCAGATCCACCTGCCTCTTGGGCCCAGACAGTTTGAGCCCAAGGAGGGCAGTAACAACCGTTCCAAGACACATACAGTGGATGAACACCTACTGTGTGCTAAGGGTTGTACAGAGAGCATCTCATTTAGCCGCTGACACCTCTATGAGGCAGACACTATGGTGCCCACCTTGCAGATGAGAAGAACAAAGCCTAGAGAGGTGGAGTGCACTGCCTGGGGGCACAGCTAGCAAGTGGCAGATCTGGGATTTGAACCCATGTATTTCTGGTTTCTGAAACCCGTGGGTCTCAGGGCTGAGTGAGATAGGGATCCCCTAGATGGGATAGTGGGTAGGGGAGTGGTGAGCCAGGAAAGAAGCAGGATGGAGGGAAGGCCAAGGGGTCAGAGGGTAGCCGGGCCAAGACCCTAGAACATCTCAGAGGCAGAACTGGGCCAGGGCCTGCGGCGCTGGATTCCCTCTGTAGCCACAGCCTAGGCTGGGGAGAGCAATCCTGCCTCAAGCTTCCCGGGACCCTTCCCTGCACCCCCCTCCTCACCAGCAAACCCCCCCCAACACACACACTCCCCCAAAACCTTCCTGGAAAGGTCAGGGCTGGAGGCCTCCAGGCAGAAGCAGCTTCCTTACCCCACCATTGTAACCCCCCCAACCAGACAGGGTCCAGCCACCCCCAGTCCCTGCTCTCTCCTCACCCATTAGAAGACTGCCAGCACAATCTGTTAGCCGTCTCTATGGTAACAGCTTTGGCAACTGAAGCAGATCTTGGGAGAGGAGGCTTCTGGGAAACGTAGTTTGTGATCGCTTGGGTCTGTCTGTCAGCGGTATGCTGGTATAACAGTGCATTCAGCGCTCGAGAACTGATTGTTAAAACTTTCAGGGATTTTTGTGAGCCAGTTGTGGTTTAATTTATTAAACATTAAATGGTAAAAACCTGCAAGTAAATATTTATATTAAAAACAAATGTGCTGGTTGCTCACATCTGTAATCCCAGCACTTTGGGAGGATAGCTTGAGGTGGTAGTTCAAGATTAGCTTGGACAACATAGTAAGACCTGCCTCTACAAAAAAAGAAAAAAAAAATTAGCCAGGTCTGGTGGTGCGTGACTATAGTCCCAGGTACTTGGTAGGCTGAGGCAGGAGGATGGCTTGAGCCCAGGAGTTTGAGGCTGTGGTGAGCTATGATTGCACTACTGCTCTCTAGCATGGGAAACAAAGCAAGATTCTTTCTCTAAAATAAATACATAACCAAATAAAAGTAATAAATACTCAAACTCATGCCTTACTAATTGTTTTACTATATTTTCCTATCATCTATGCTTTTGAGGTGATTAACCATGTTGTTTCCGTCCTATGGAAATAACACATGATGGTCAGCTGCACTATACCTCCCTCGAACTTCTATTCAGTGATGTCAGAGTGACAGCTTAAAATATGCCATGGGATTGTTTACACCACAGAAATTGGCCAATGCCATAGACCAGGGCTTTTTCTCCCTGCAAGCTAGTTGTGAGACATCCACCTTCACACCATAGTCCCCGCCCCACTGCATGATGAATGTGGTCCTCATCAAGACAGACAGAATGCAGCATGGGGCCTGGTGGCTACCTGCATGGCGGATGGAGACAGGCTGCCCAAGTCCTGGGTTCTAGCCTACCCTGGGCCTCTGATTGAACAGATCACTTTGAAGAACAGGAAATACCTATCATTAGCTTAGTGGCCTGCAAAAATATTTAATTTTAATTTCTTTTAAAATCAGAATTTAAAAAATGAAGAGAATAATGATAATTCTATAATTATGAGTCCACCCGGATTACATGCATTCTTGTACCAGTGCAGTCGTAAAACATAATTTTGACTGCTTATTTTTGGAAGAAGGGGCACATGGGCCCATTTTGGGCAGAGGCTAGGGTGCCAGGAGGGGGTCCAGAGAGTCTTTTGTGCTTGTGAATTTTTGTTTGAGTCCTTCCTTACCTCTGCATCACCAAAATATTTTCCTACATTAACTTTACAGTTTTGCCTTCTGATCTAGACTTTTACCACCCCCCTGGAGCCCACCTCTGCATGAAGGGTTAGTAGGGATCCCGCTTTATTTTTTCACCATATAATGAGACAATTGTCCAACAGCATAATCAGACCACCCTTTCCTTCTTGGGAATGTCACCGCCATCATATATTAAGTCCCCCAGAGTTTATTAAATTTCTTGTAGAGACAGGGTCTCACTATGTTGGCCAGGCTGGCCTCAAGGGATTCTCTTGTCTCAGCTTCTGAGTGAGTCTGTTTCTGAGTGCTTTGTTCTGTTCCACTAATCTTTTTTCCTATCCCTGCATAGACTCCACATTGCATTTCCCATACTGGCCTTGTCATATCTTTATATCTGGAGATCAACTCCTCCTTCTATACCCTCTTTCATCAAGGTCAACTATTTGAGGCCTCCGTGCCTCCAGATCAATTTCAGAATAAGTATTTGGAGAATCCAGAAAATGAAATCAACCCGAATCTTTACTAGAACAGCATGGAACTGATTTATTAATTGGTGAAGGATTTATATATCTTAATATTAAGAGAAATAAGAGCATGGAGAAAATGCATCTTCTTTTTCCTGTGTCTTGGTTATATTGTAATGAAACAATACTAAAAATGAAGACATTTGGGTAGAACAGAAACCCAGGCAAGAGCCATGGTGGAATGGCCCCTCTCTGTGGCCCAAGGACGAGCCCTGTACCCAGGACCTGATTGGGTGATGGCCAAGGCAAAGCTCTGGCTTGGTCCCATCTGTGCCGACCAGATGGGCCAGGCACTGGGCAGTCTCGGCAGCCATAGTCTCATTTATCATTTCCTCCCTCAAGCCGTGGAGCAGCTCTGCCAACTCCTGCCCGCAGTCCCATAGATGAGGAACCCGCCCACAGCCCATTGAAGAGGTGGAATGCGGAACTGATCGCTGGCATCGGCATCTGTCACCCGCCATGATGTCTCCCACCCAGAGGTGGCTATTGTTGTTATGCCATGACAGAGGAGACCCACCCATCTACTCTGGGTTTTGGGGTGTATTTTTGCCACAGTCCCCCTTGGCCTGAGCATGGGTGCTCAGCTTGGTCACTTTGCAGTGACCCCAGGTGATGAGAAACTCAGGCTCTCAGCCCCCGCCTAGCCCTGGCATAGAGAGCCAGCCTGAAGGAACACACTCCCGAGGTCAGCCTCACCTGCACATCTGCCCCCTCCATCTGAGCCAGGAGACCCAGCTTGTAGGGGCTTGTGCTCCTGCTGGTCCCACAGCCCTCTGAGCAGTCCAGGAAAACTGTAGCCCAGGGTTTCCCTTGAGACTGCAGGGTAGGGACCAGGTGATCATTCTTTTAAAAAATTTTTTTTGAGAAAGGGTCTCACTTTGTCACCCAGGCAGGAGTGCAGTGACATGATCAACAGCTCACTGTAGCCTCAATTTCCTGGGCTCAGGTCAGCCTCCTTCCTCAGCTCCTGAGTAGCTGGGACTACAGGCACGCACCACCACACCTGGCTAATTTTTTTGGTGTTTTGTAGAGATGAGGTCTCGCTATGTTGCCTAGGCTGGTCTTGAACCCCTGGGCTCAGGCGGTCTTCCCGCCTTGACCTCCCAAAGTGCTGGGATTACAGGCATGAGCCACCGCACCGGGCCAAGGACCAGGTGAAAATTCTTGAGCCCCAGGAGGAGGAGTCGGCCGCCAGGGAGGCCCAGCCCAGCTTCAACCCAGCACGTAGAGTGGCCCTGGCTGGGCAGGTTGCTAAGCCTGTCCAGGCCTCCATTTCCTTGTTCCAACTGCCCAGGCTAGTCTTTCTTTAAGCAAAGGGGGCTTCAGGAGCCAAGTATTTGTCACCTCCCTTAATACTGTCAGGATGAGGCAAGGACTTTATAGGGAGGGGAGAACTGAGGCTCAGAGAGGTGCAGTGACATGTCCAGGATCACACAGCTCCTGGGAGGCAGAGCCAGGATTTAAGCCCAGGCCTGTCAGGCAGTGGAGCCGCTGCTACTCAGGTTTGGGTTCAGAGAGATGAGCCCTTCAGCACAAGAAACAGATGTCTGTGAAGATAAGCCCCAAGTGCAGCAAACTTGTCCACAAAAGTTACTCATGTGGCTCAACTGCTGTAATGTCCGCACCGCAGGATTTCCCTTCTAGGAACACCACAGCTTGCATCAAGTGAGGGTTCGTCTTCCTGTACTGTGTCTTTCTGTGGGGTGGGAGGAGCAGAAGCGGGTATGTCCACTAGGGTCAGCTGGAGCATCCACAAAGCACCCTGGGAAGGGTGGGTGGTGGGTGGGGAGGGGAGCTGGTAAGGTAAGGCCAGAGGGAGGGAGGAGCTTGTGGGGTGAGGATCTGGGGAGGGGACTGATGCCAAGAATCACTACCCTCCTGGGAGGGGGTGGGAGCGGGTGGGAGGGGAAGGAGCAGCCGTCTCTCTGCCTCTGTCTCTCTGTATCAGCCTGCCTGTTAAGTCCATCTCTCAGCCAGGTGTAGTGGCTCACACCTGTAGCCCCAGCACTTTGGGAGGCTGAAGCGGGAGGATCACTTGATGCCAGAAGTTTGAGAACAGCCTGGGCAACACAGCAAGACTCCGTCTCTCTTAAAATAAAAAGAGGAACAAGCACGTCTCTCTCTCCATCTCTCTATCTCTACCTCCATCTCTATTATCTCTGCCTCTTTTTGTTTCCTACTCAGGTTGTGACATGGGGCCCAACTACTGGAAGTGCCATGCCTACCCTGGGTCTGGCCTGAGAAGCTCCCTTGGCTGGGGCCCTGCCAGGCCGGTGCCAGACGCAGACATCCATTCTTTCAGCCAGCACACGTTTATTCAGGGCGTGACACATGCCAGGCCCTGCTCACGGCCTGGGCTGGAGTGGTGCGTGAGGCTGTCCAGGTCCCTGCTCTGTGGAAACCCTGCCCAGCCCCTGCTCCGAGGGCCTCAGCCCTGCCCCGTCCCTCGGCCCTCCACACTGAATGAATAGGTGCCCCAGGTGTGCAGGGCCCTGGACCACCGGCCTTCTCTCTCCACAGTGACCGATGGCAGATTAGCGGTCAGACATGGCTGCCAGAGTGTGGTGGCAGGGAGTGGGCTTGCTCGAGGTGGCACACCACCAAGTGATGTTCTGAAATCCAGTGTCCCCAGATGCCTGGAGGGCTGGCAGCAGCCTGAATGGTGGAGTCCCTCCAGTGCAGATGGGCCCCGATGGGATGGGCAGGTTGGGTGGGAGGACCCACCCTTGTTCCCCAAAACAAACCCCCATTGCCCGAAGGGGCAGTGGCCTCCTGAGCACCCCCAAGGATACAGGCAGCCAGAAGGGGGAGCCGTGGAAGGGCGGTGATGGGTAGGGGGAGGAAGGGAGAGGCTGGAGCTCCTTCAAGGGGCTGAACCAGCAACAGCCTCCCCTCCTGGGCTCTGGCCCTTGGAGACCAGAAGGTGGGAGAGGGCTTTACCATGAGGGCAGGGTGTGGGGTGGAGGTGCGAACCTCTGCTAGTGGAGGGAGGGGTAGGTCTCAGAACTGCAGGGACTTTCAACTCCTGCAAAACTGCATGTGTGGATTCTTGGGCTCACAGATCTGGGTGGGAGCCCCGAGGCCACCAGGTCCAGCCTGGTCTCTGTTCCTTCCCCCACCATCCACATTGTACAAAGGAGGAAATGGCAGTCCAGAGGGAGGCAAGGAGCCGCCCAGGCCACACAGAGATTTAGGCCTGAGTATGGAGTGCGGGGCTCGGTCCCCTAATCATGAGATGCAGAGTGGGCCTGGTCCAGGCGTGTGGGGCCAACCCCCTACTCGTGAGATGCTGAGTGGGCCTGGTCCAGGCGCGCAGTGCCAGAAGAGGAGGCTGTGGTGCTCTGGCTTGGGAGGTAGAGGATGGTGAACCAGCAGAAGATGAAGACGCCTGGTAGGGAGAAGGAGAGGCCTGAGTGAGCCTGGGCGGAGCTGGCAGGGAACAGGGCAGCCTGGGCTGGCAGTGGCCGATGGGGGAAAGAGCTCATGGCAGCAATTCAAGAATTCCTGAAAAAGCCAGGCGAGAATGAAACCTGCACCAACTAGAAAACTTGGGGATGAAAAACAGAGACCTGGAAATAAAATATCTACACACATCTGTCCCAGAAAAGAAAGAGTAAAATAAAGGAATTTTTAAACACACAAAGAGCCACCACCATCTCTATAAAGGATGATTACACTTCAGCAGGAAGAGGAGGGAATGTGTGGGGTGCAAGAAATTATAGCAAGTACAGAAAGTGATGGAGAAATAAAAATTGTGGTGTGTTTCATGGAAATTTACAAGAAAAACTCTACACAGCTGCTGGCTACAGTGGTTCACAGCTGTAATCCCAGAGTTGGGGGAGGCTGAGGTGGGAGGATCACTTGAAGCCAGGAGTTGGAGACCAGCCTGGGCAACATAGCAAGACCTCGTTCCTACAAAAACAAACAAACAAAGAAAAGCAAACCATTAGCTGGGCATGGTGGCACACACCTGTAGCACCAGCTACTAGGAAGGCTGAGGCGGAAGAGTTGCCTGAGCCCAGGAGGTCAGAACTGCAGTGATGGTACCACTGCACTCCAGCCTGAGAGAAAGAGTGAGGCCACAACTCAAAAAAATAAAAGAAAATTAAAAAAAAACCAAAAACTGAACAACTCAGACCCAGTTGCAACTTCACTCAGTAGGGTGAAGTGTGAAGGCTTAAATATTAAGGTGACTTCGAAGAGAACGCTGACATCACCTGTAGTTCCAAGGTGCTTCTCCCCAACCTTCAACCCTGGCATCTTCCAGGCATGGGCTACAATTCTTCAACGGGGACAGCTTCAGATGGCCCACCAGCCATAATTTCTATGGTTATTAATATAGTTCCCACATACAGAAGACCACTGGGTGCCACACAAGCATTCCCAGTCACTCGTCAAGAAACATGGTGAGATAAGTACTGGGACCGGCCCGATTCAGAGATGAGTGAGGGTCAGAGGAGCTGAGTGAGTTGGGATTTGAACCCGGGGCTGCCTGGCCCCAACTACTGAGCCACACAGCCTCATGGGGTACTGGGAGCAGGTCTGGCCTTGTGGGCTTGCTCCTGTCGCAGCGAGGATGCCTGGGTTCCTAGCGACCCCTCTGGATGGCACAAGTCATGCCACTCCCTTCCTGGATGTTTCCCTCACAGTCAGGCTGTGACACCTCTTTGAGCTGCCAGTGTGATGGGGAAAGACAACAGGACCCATGCCCAGGCTCCTCCCCCTTTGCCGGGGTCTCAGACGAAAAACTCCTAAGTGACATAGGAATCACTGACTTCCTACTTCCACAGTTCCTTAGGGACTCGTCCATGTCCTGTGGACATCCAATCACACAGCCCTGCCCTCCTAGTCACGGTTGATTGGACCAGAGATGGACACCTGACTTGGAAGGCCATGGAAGGGGACGGCGGCCATGTTGGGCAGCCATCTGGGGCCACAGGTAGTGATGGGCAAGCAGAAAGAGAAGAATGGAGTTTCCACAGCCACTAGATGAGGGACCACACTGCTCCAGAGAAAGAGGCGGGGACAGTATCTACTTTGGTGAGGGTGGCCTTTCCCGAAGCCTGCCACCTTTGCTGTCCAGGATCCTTGCGAGAGCCCTGAATATTTAAAATCAATCCCTTTGACCTGAGCCAGCCTGTATGGAATCCTCTTCCCACCTCCCAATACCTCCGGCTACAGACGCGGCATCTCAGTGGCCTCACCTTGCAGGGAGTTGAAAAGTGCGAAGATGTAGATGGTGGACAGGCCCAGGGGCGTGAGGACGGCCAGCCCCCATGTCACACCCACCAGGCTCGAGAGCCCCAGCACGGTGAGCACCCCCTTCCGGGTCTGCCCCCGCTCCTTGCCCGCTGTGGCACTCGACAGTGTGAAGATCTTCCAGGCCACCAGGGCCAGGATCACGGCATTGAAGAGGAAGGTGATGAGGAAATAGCCGTGAACGGTGACATAGAGGGCATTGATGGCCGTCCCTTCCCGGAACCAGCACCTGGAGAAGGCAGATGGCCAATGGGACTTGGGAGGCCCGACGGGGTCCTCCCAGCTGACGTTTTATGACCAGGAGGGCTCCTCCTGTTTCTACCCATCAACCCTTGCTCTCCTGCTGGAGGAGGGGCTGCCAACAGGCTCCAGTCTAGTGTCCCAGTCTAGACACATTTCGCTTGCTCCATGTTATGTGGTAAAAAATGAATTAGTGGCCACCGTTGAAAAATCAGAGGATGTGGTGGGAGTATCGGATTTCTGCTTCTCTGATAAAGCTATACACCTGACAGCCCTGTGAATGCCCTCCTGAAGGACAGTGCCTGGCTGCCCCTTGGGTGGCATGTGACTGGCAGTCTACCACAGCCCGTACCAGGCTCACCGCATGCACTTATGTGACCTTTCTCGCTCTGTGGTCCCTGTTTCTGAGACTCCGGGAACAGGTCCAAGCTCTGCCGGCCCCTTCTAGCGCAGACTCATGGGCCCAGATCACCAGGTGGGAGTCTGAGGGCTCAGCTCAGCTCCACTGTTCACTGTACTGCAGGGACTAAAGGCCCGAAAAACCATGTTGATCAGCTCCCCATTGTACAGGTGAGGAGACAGGCCCTGGGAGAGGATGCACACACAGCCGTCGGGGCTCAGGGCTGCTGGGAGTCAGTGGGCAGGTTGTGTCACGCACAAGGGTGCCTGGCTTAGGGGCAGCTGGGGCCACAGAATCCAGACGCCCTCCCCTCCTCCACCCAGCACCCAGCACAGGGCAGGAGTGCCATACGGACTTGCATCGGCCAGGTTCGCGTGAGGCATTCTGCCTCCTGGTCCAGTTCTCCCTCTCCCTGCCGGGGCTCCCTCTCTCCAGACCTCAGTTTGCCCCCATGTGCCATGAGGCAGCTGGACCTGAGGCTCCTGGTCTTGGCACGTCTGGTCTATCTTCTAAGGAATCCCTCATCTCCCCACCTCCCTCCAGCTCCATATGTGAAGCCCGGCCTGAATTCCACCCCTGCCCCCACAGCTGCCACTCACAGCTCCAGCGAGGTGCGGTTCTCCTTGTCACGGATGGCGTGGAGGCCATAGCTGTTGGCGATCCCAGCGCCGATGACCATCAAGATGGGCAGGCCTGGGTGCAGAGTAAGAGGCGTGGCATCCCAGGGCTCCCCAGAAGGTCCCCCTCCCTGCCCCCTCCAGATGCCCATCCCTCAGCCTTGGGAGCCCCTCCTCTTTCCCCGGGGCTATTCCCCCCTCCCTCCCTCATCCCCAGAGCTGGCCATTCCCTCCACCCTTGACCTACCCCAGCCCACCAGGCTCAGCTTCAGGAAGTAGTGACTGAAGTAGGTGTTGAAGACCCGGATGGCAAGCAGGTAGAGGTGGAAGGCTTCCAGGCCCATCCAGGTGAAGACGCAGAGCAGGAAGTAGTGGAAGGTGGCCCCCCGGGCCCGGCAGGCAGCATCGGACCCCTTGGAGCCGCTCCCCACGCTGATGAAGAAGACCAGATTCAGGAGGAACAGGCTGACACTCAGGGACACGTGGATCTTGGGGGCGTCTTCTGACTTGAACCTCTGCCAGGAAAGCCTGGGAGGAGAAATGAGATGGCTCCTGGGGCGGTGGCTCCCATGGGACACTGGGCCTGTCTGCTCAGTCTCAGCTCCACCCCAGTAGTGTGTGACTCTCCACCCCCTCACCAGCTCCTGCCTGATGGTCCAGCTTCAACCCCTCCAGCAGCCAGAGCGTGAGAACCTAGAGGTTCAGGCCAGAGACCTCCCTGGACCGACCTGCGGAGTTTGATCCTGCTGGTGTGTCCCTCAACGTGATGCATCCGCCAAACTGTGTGACCTTCAGTTCCCCAGACACATCCTGTTCTTTGCCCTTCCGGGACTGTGCACGTGCTGCCCCTGCTCTCAGACCTCTCCAGTCCCTCAGCGCCACCCACCCCCTTTGCCTGACTTCCGCTCAACCTTCAGAATGCCCCTTGGATGCTAACTTGTGGGGAGGCCATCTTCGGATGCCTCTGAGCCCAGCTGGCTTGGAAGTTTCCCGACAGTGTGGGGCAACTCTCCATCCTCGCCTCCTCAGGCTCTCCCGTGCCATGGACTCAGGCCCAGCAGTGGAGGGAGTGTGCACAGGCAGGTGGAGGGGCATGTGAAGCCTTAAGATGCAGCCGGGAGAGGAGGCTTCGAGAGGGACAGGAATTCTCAGAGTCACCAGCCTGGCAGGGGCTTCTGGCTCCCCACCCAGAGTGTTGTCCTGGGCTGATTTGCCCATCTGTGGGACCCCTACTCTGGATTCTCACCAAATCACAGCCAAAAGGCTCTCACCTGAGGGATGGAACCCAGGGCTTCCTGGAGGGGGCAGCAGGGATGATGTCCACCTCACCTGAGATGCCAGCCCCCACCCTTGGGAGCTGGTGACAATTCCTCCTGGTGCTCCAAGCCTGGCTCACAGGGTTCAGCAACGCAGCCAGCTGGCAAGTCACTCTCAGTTTGGTGGGACCTGGGGCCGTGTCCTGAGCCAAGGCTTGGGGGATGGGGTGGGGGAACCACTTACACTCGCAGGTTGGTCTGTGATGGAGTGGGTGGGGCTGGCGGGGGCTGCAGCCCAGGGCCAAGTGGGGATGGGGACACAGAGGCATGTGGAAAGGCCTGGGGAGGGCAGGAGACCCCAGGGATGCTCCAGGCTACTCAAGGGTGAGCTGGGTGGGGCACCTCCCGGAGGCCAGGGGCGGGGCATTCTGGGCACGGGCTGCTTCCCCAGGCACCTTCCAGCTGGCAGGTCCCATGGGTCCCTCGGCCATGGCCTCACCGGGCAACAAGGCTGCAGTGCTCTGCTGCTTCTGCCTATCCAGCACCCACTCCCTTCTTCTGGAAACAGCCCAGATTCCCTGAGGAACACCATTCCCTACTTTCCACCAAGGTGGATAGGGGTGGGGGACAATTGGTCCTTTGTTGGTCCAACTCAAGAGCAGGCACGTGGCCTGGCCTGGCTGAGCCCTTGACCATGTGACCTCTTGGGGTGGGGAATATGGCCCAAGTTAGACCAGTAAATCTCAACTCTGGTGTTTGCACAGGAGAAAACCAAACCACATAGGCTGACACACACAGGCCAGTTTCACAGGTGTGTGACCTCCGTAAGGCCCTCGGCTCAGAAGGGTTTAATGTTCTGCTGTCACCATCTTGACATTCTTAAAAATTTTTGGATGGGCCAGGCATGGTGGCTCAAGTCTGTAATACAGCACTCTGGGGGACTGAGGCGAGAGGATTGCTTGAGGCCAGGGGTTCGAGACCAGTCTGGGCAACTTGGCAAGACTTTATGTCTACAATTAAAAAAAAAAATTAACCAGGTGTGGTAGCACACGCCTGTAGTTCCAGCTACTTGGAAGGCTGAGGTGGAAGGATCGCTGGAACCCAGCAGGTTGATGCTGGGGTGGCCATGAGTGTGCCACTGCAAGACAAGTGGCTACATATCTTCATTGTGGAATGGGTCTTGCAAAGAATATCAGGTCAGCACACATGGGCACATGCGTGCATACACACACATACACATGCATATGAAAACGGAACAAGGTCTGTGTGCTGGGCAACCGTGCCTGGTTTTGAGACTGTACCACGGTTGTGTGGGTCTACTGGAGGAAGCTGGGGAAGGGACCACAGGACTGCACTATTTTTGCAACTTCCTGCCTATAATTATTTCAAAATAAGATGTTTTTTAAAAACCCTCAATTCTGGGACTTAATTTAGAATATTTGGAGAGAGGAGGTCTCTTTTATTTCTGCCCGAGCAGCTAAGGAGCTATGATGCAAGCCTGGGGTGCCTGAGCAAAATCGAGAGACACAGAGGGAGACTGAGTGCTGGGGACCTCTTCAAGCCTCTGGATTGAACCCGACCTGAAGTCCATGCAACTTGGGCTTTTCAATTACATGAGCCACTAACTTCTTATTATGTTTAAGGCAATTTCAGTTGAGTGTCTGCCCTTGCAACTGAAACAGCCCTGACATATTTCAGCCTCCAGCCCCATCATGCAGATGAGACTAAGGTGTACAGAGGATATCAGTAAAAGGGCACGCAGCCAGGGTGCCTCCTACCCTGCCCTGCTGCCTCCCTCGAGGGCACGAGGCCAATGTGGGAGAGATTGGGCCACTCACCTCAGGGCGATGTAGAGAACAACGGTGAAGGCCAGGAAGACCATGGACACCCCACAGCCTGCCTGCGAGATGCGTGTGAGGGCCTGCACGGTGGCCTTGTCCAAGACGGGCCTCTGTGGGCAACCCCGAACCAGGATCATGTCAGCTGGAGGCCAGGCCCACGTGCCCCAAAGGTTCTGGCCCTGCAGGCAGCCCCCTCCCCAGGGCAGGAGCCGGAAGCCTCCGGGACGCTTAGCTCAGAGTGGAGGGGGGCTGTTACCAGCAGTAAGGCAAAGAAGGTCAGGTGGTCACAGCGGCACACAGTTCTCTCGGGTCCCAGCTCTGTGGAGCAGCCCTTGGAAGCCCAGTCTCCAGTGGGCCCTGGAGAGGAAGCCGGGGGAACAGAAGGAAGGGGAACATAGGAAGGAGGAACCTGTGGGGGAGCTGCCCCGCCCCTAGGGAACCCACACTCTCCCCCATCTTACCCCAGGAGACCCTACCTTTAGTCATGTCCCAGAAGACACAGGTGAGAATCATATTCTGAAAGCAGAGAGTCGTGGGAGTCAGGGAGGAGGAAGGGGAAGGCCGGGAGAGAGGCGGGGGGAAGAAGGCTTGCTCCTGAGGGTCCGAGCATGAGTGTGCCTCAGGTAGAAAGCAAGGCTCATGCCCGTGGGTCCCACAGGAAAATCACCAGCATCATCCCATGTGCCCTGGACCAGAGTGTGAGGGGCACTGCTGAGGTGTGGGGCTGTGGGTGGGAGGGCTTGCATCCCTGTGTGAGTGTGCATGTCAGGGAGCACGCATGTGAGTGCGTGTGGAATGCCGTGTGCACACAGGTGGGCTTGTCCGGTCCTCGTGAGCAGGAGAGTGGGAGGGTGTCTGGAGCATGTGGACCTATGTATGCAGTGTGGGCATGTGACCCTGGACACAGTTGTGTGCATGGCCTGATGGATGGATGGGAAGGGTAGGGGACAGACATGCAGTGTCCTGCACAAGTCCGCTCAGAGCCCACATACCCTGTGGTGACTGTCAGGCCTGGGTGGGAGACTCACGGGGGGCTGGCGCTGGTGGGAGAAGGTGATCTCCAGAGGCTCGGCTAGCCCAGTGACGGGCGTCTGGCCCACACTCAGGCCCACCAGGTGGTTGTTCAACACGCTGCCGCCATCCTTCAGGCTGAGTTGGGGACCCTGTAACGGGGGTGGGAGGCCAGGCTGCAGGAGGAGACGTCCCAGCCCGACCCTGACTGGGGGTCCTGGGAGCCTCTAGGATCCGTGGCTCTTGCATGGTGGGCTGGGTCTGAGGCCAGAGGACCAGGGAACTGAGGGGCATGCCTGCTGCACCCTAGGTGGGACCAGGCTGGGCTCTATGCTCTAGGCCAGCTGGCCGGAAAGCTGTGCCTCTGCCAGCTCCCCACAACTAGCCCTGAGCGCCTCTGCCCTGGTCACTAGAGGGGCGCGGAGCCAAGATCAGCCAGGAAAGGGAGGGCGGTGGGTGCCTGCTAGGAGGTGAGCCCTCCAGCACTCGAGTGCACGTGAGTGGATGCACGCCTCCAGGTACACACACCTGGTCCGCACCTCTGCCAGGGCATGGTTCCACTTGCTCAGGTAGACATGGCCACACCTGAGCACACGTGATTGTGTGTGCCCAGGATTAGAAAAGGACATGCATGTTTGTGCACGCACGAGGACACAAGGATATACATACACACACCGAAGGGCACTGGTGCGTGGGGTGCCAAACATCTGAGCATGTGCAACCAGTGTGAGTCCGCAGTGCTCAGACTCCTGGAGTCTGGAGTGAACATAGGTTGCTTTAGAAAAGCTCTCAAGAGGCCAGGCACGGCAGCTCACACTTGTAATCTTAGCACTCTGGGAAGCTGAGGCAGAATTGCTTGAGCCCAGGAATTCGAGACCAGCCTGGGCAACATGGCAAGACAAGACCCCAGCAGTCTCCAGTGAGGGCAAGCTGGGGCAGGTGGCCCTGGGGCACCCATCCTCTAACCACGGAGCATCCCTCAGCAGAGTCTCTTCACCTTGAAGACATTTCCCAGACCGATGTCCAGCACGGTGATGGCCAAGCGGACCACAGATCTGTTGCTGGGCAGGGATCCCAAAATGCTCCTGGGAAGCCGGACCCTGTCAGGGGGCTTTTCCTCATCCTTCATTACTTGTCTCGGAACCTGCAACCACAGACCCCACAGACCCCAACTCAGGCCCAGATAGAGGAGAAACTGAGGCACACTGGGTAGAGGGACAGCGCCCGGCACTGCCGCCTCTGAGGGGAAGGACACCCAGGGCACCGTCCAAGTTCTCCTCAGGCTGTGGGACTCCAGAGAAATTGTGGCCCCCGGAGCCTCAGTTTTCCCAGGATAGAGAATGGAGCCAACCATGTGCCTGTATGGAGTCCTCAGGCTGAAAGGAGGCTAGGAAGAAATATCACCCGGGTAAGCTCAGTGTGCAGGGTGAGGACAGCCAGCTGTTGTGTGCTTTCGGCCAGGGTCCTGACAGCCCCAGTGTTTACAGAGGCTCTGTGGTGCCGGTGTCTGGTTCTGACTCGGGAATTAACGGAAAGAATAAAGGCAGCAGGAAGGGAGAGAAGGAGGGCAGACATGGAGGACACTCGACTCACACATGCCCTGCCTGGCAACAGCAACACATTTGAAAAACAAAGAAAGGTCAAAATGTTGAAATCAATGCGGGTGGCAACTGCCAAACATGCTTTACTCCTTCTCTGCCTCTTGTCCCAGGCTGCCCCGACCTTCCCAGCCTCCTACCCACGTCATAAAGGAGAGCCAGGTATGGGAGCTGGGGTCCTGCTTTCTCCCTTCTCTTGTAACTCCTTGTCCAAAGCCATGTGGGGGACTTCTGGGGCTGGTATGTACCCCCTGTGGAGGGCTCGGCTGCTTGGGTGACCTGAGAAAGACTTGAGAAGAGCTCTGTCTCTCCTGCTTCCTCTATCCAGATAGACTTCACTGATAACCAAGCCACCTTGCTGCCTGGACTCCCACTGTCAGGCTCATTCCTGATGGAGGATCCTCACTGTGCCAGGCATTCCCCGTGCACGATCTCACTGGCTCCTCCTGTTACTCTTGAAAGTGGGCAATACTTTCCTCATTTTACAGATGGGAAAACCAAGGCTCAGAAAAGTAATCTGCCCACGATCACAGTGACTGGTCTGGGGCAGAGCTGAGATTTGAATCCAGACCAGTGTAAATCCAGAGTCTGCCTGTCGAGCCCGTTGCAGCCAATGGGCACCCTTTGCCTGGTTTCTAATGTGCCCCCTGGGCGCAAGAGCTCATGGGAATTTTAGGCTTGGAGGAACCTTGGAACCCATTTACAGATGAGGACTCCGGGGCCCAGAGAGGGAAACGGATTTCCCAGAGGACATTAGTGAAGTGACGACAAGTCCAGAACTAGAACCCAGGCCTTCAAATGTCTCACCTAGCACCCTGGATAATCTAACACCAGAGCCACTCACCACTTGACTCCTAGACCCACTAACAAAGCGGCAGAGCTCTGCCAAGCGGGACATGGCAGGGATATGCTCTAAATGGGCACCAAGCACAGGACAGAACTCTCTTAGAATCTAGAAACAGAGGTCTGAGAGAAATGGGATCTGAGCTGGCCAACAGGGCTGGGGCCGCCTCACCTGTGAGGGCTTCAAAGAGAAATACAGGTCTTCTGCGTTGTCTACTCGGAAGTTCCGGACCAAAGCCTTCACGGAAGACGTGTTCACCTGCTCAGTGGAACTCTGCTCCACCAGGTGGGTCTCATAGTTCAGCCAGTATCTGCAAGGGGCCAGGGGAGGGGAATGTCTTGCAAGCAGAGCCACGTACTCATCAGGCCCTTGGGGTGAGGGCTGGCCCAGGAAATCCAGGTAAAAACCCTGAGATTGCTGTGGAAAGATGAAGGGCTGTGCAACTCTGGCTAGAGAGACCTTCTGTGTTTGTCTTCTATTGAAGAAAATGCACATAACAGAAATTCTTTATTTTTTTTGAGTCGGAGTCTCACTCTGTCTTCCTAGGCTGGAGTGCAGTGGCATGCTCACAGTCACTGCAGCTTCAACCTGCTGGGCTCAGGTGATCCTTCTGCCTCCAAGTAGCTGGAACTACGGATGCACAGCACCACACCTGGCTAGTTTTTGTGATTTATTGTAGAGATGTCTCATCAAGTTGCCGAGGCTGGTCTTGAACCCCCGGGCTCAGGCCATCCTCTCACCTTGGCATCCCAAAGTGCTGGGATTACAGGTTGAGTCACTGCGCCTGGCCTACAGAAAATTTACCATTTTAACCAATTTTGTCTCCATAAACTTGCCTACTCCAGATACTTCATACAAAGGGAATTGTATGAGACGCAGCCTTTGTGTCTGGCTTCTTTCACTTAGCGCAATGCCGTCAAGGTTGATCCATGTTGCAGCACGTGCCAGCATTTCACCTCCTTTTAAGTGTACAATTCAACAACATTAAGTACTTTTACATAATGATGTGGAACCATCACCACTATCTAGTTCCAGAACATTTTCTTTTTTATTTTATTTTTTTCCTTTTAGAGATGAGTTCTTGCTATATTGCCCAGACTGGTCTTGAACTCCTGAGCTCAAGCAATCTTCCCACCTCGGCCCCCCAAAGTGCTGGGATTACAGGCATGAGGCACCGCACCCGACCCCCAAACATTTTCATCACCCCAAAAGGAAGCCCTGTACCCATTAAGCACTCCCTTCTTCGCTCCCTTCCCCCAGCCCCTGGCAATTACTCATCTGCTTTCTGTCTCTATAAATTTGCCTACTCCAGATATTTCACACAAAGGGGATTGTATGAGAGGCAACCTTTGTGTCTGGTTTCTTTCACCTAACTAATGAGATTCATCCACATTGCGCATATGTCAGTATTTCACTTCCTTTTAAGGTGGAATACTATTTCATGGCATGGATATGCCACATTTTGGTTATGCATTCATCCCTTGATGGACATGTAGGTCTTTTTCCATTTTTTGGCTATTGTGAAAAGTGCTACCATGAATATTCACACATAAGCTTTTGTCTGGAGCTTTGTTTTAAGTTCTTTTGGGTCTATACCTGGGCAGCACAAAGAAGAATCCCCAAACAGCTTTCAGGTGCTATGAAGCTACAGGCACAGCTGCAGGGGGGAAGGGGAGCATTTTCCTCCCACTAAAATCATGTTATTTAATCAGACTACTATCCTGACATGGGCCTGAGCACATGGGGTTGTCATTCACCCCTTCAACAAGTACTGATCAAGTACCAACTACAAGCCAGGTGCTTGTCCGGGTACGTCAGGGGAGTTATGGGCAATTTTGATCAGAGACAGAGGAGGGAGAGAGGCAGAGATGCATCTGGAGATAGCACGGGTGTTCCCCCTCACATCGACTATCTCACATCTTAGGCTTTGATTCAGTGTCACGTGGCCTCCTTCCCCCAACCCCCCTTCCCGGCACACAACACTGGTCCTGCTGCTGGCGTTGGCTCAGCCCTCATTCTTACCCAGAGCCCACAGTGGCGTCCTGCCTTGCCAAGTCTCCTCCCATGTCTCATCCCTGTAGCCTGCCCGGAAGTATGAGCCATCTTTCTACAGTGCAGAGTTGACTGCACCCTTCCTGTCTTGAGGGTAGTTCATTGCCCTGCCTCTCCCCATTGGCATAGCTTACATGACCCTTCACACCTTAGTTCCTGCCATATTTCCAGTCCTATCCCCCCACTCACTCCAGCTCGCCAGTGCCTCCACTACCCGCCCCCCAACACTTTACACTCTCACAGTTCTCCCCTAGGACTCTGAAGTTCTGCTGCCTGTATCCCCCGCCCCATTGCTTGGGTCCAACTGGGAAACTCCCATGTACCCCCTTAAAAAGCCCTCTCATGGGTTGCCTCCCCTGTGAAGACTTGGCAGACATCCCTCCTCTGGGCTCACCTGGCACCCTTCTGTATGATCACACCCTGGAGTCATCATCACTTGGGCCCTTGTCTGTCCCTCCACGACTCCCAAGGACAAGGTCATGAACTGATTCATCTCTGCATCCCCAAATTAGTAAGGCCCCTGATTGCTGGCATGGGGGGACCCTGGGTTGGGGGAATGGTGTCAAAAGGCAGGGTAAAGGAAGGGGAGGAGCATTTTCTGGAGCCCTAGGGGCAGATGGCCCATCCCTTCCTAAAAGCCCCTCCAGGGAGCCCAATTTCCACTCCAGTTCAGAGGGCCCCCTCACCTCTGCAAGTTGCCCAAATCGCAGAAGTCACCGCCCTCCTGGTTGCACTTGGTGAAGCACTGGGCCTTCTCTTGCAAGTTGAAGTTGTCGTACTGGTCCACATCGTTGAGCCCCAGGCAGGTGTTTCTGGGCCTCTCGGTGGCCTTGGGCTTTCCCTTACCTGAAGAAGGGATGCAGGGAGCGCCAATGGTCTGACTGAGGGCGGGAGACGGAGCTGATGGTTGGGCTGGAACCCCAGCGGCATCCATTACGCCACCTATGCACTCCACTGGACTCACACCCTCCCCAGGCCTCCGTTTCCAAGGTGAAAGGAGATACTACCCCCTCTCCTGGGGCTGGTGGGAGGTTTTGGGGAAAGCATGTATGAAGTGTCTGGCACATGGCTCTGTAGATAAAAGGTTTCATATGTTAGTACTAACACTCCTTTACCACCTCCTTCAGGAAGTTGGCCTGACTTTTCACTGTTGTTCCATATTGGACCTTCCAAAACGCTTGCAACTATGGCCTCATGGTACTACTCATGGATGTGTTCTGTCTCGGTTTGCCTCATTCCCCCACAGTCACTTTCCAGGCCTCACAGCTACCTCCTGGGGGAGGCAGCAAAGACATCAAACAAAGTCCCCTGGAGCACAATGATGTGAGCAAGGTCACCGACCAGCTGGAGGCTGCCCCAGAACCAGAGACTAGAATGAGAGGCTTCTACTTCAATTCCCTTTTGTCTGATATAGGGCATGGAGGGGGCTTGGGTCACTTAATAGCTGTCCATCCTCAAGCAAGTTGCTTAAACTCCCTGAGGCTCAATCTTCTCATCAGCAAAATGGGGTTAGCACCTTCCTGGCAAGTTTCGAGGGAGATTAGAGATACCACACATAGAGGACATAACTCACTGTAGGTATTCAGAGGGCCACTGTGATTTATTTATTTACTTATTTATTTTTATTTTTGAGTCAGAATCTCACTCTGTCTCCCAGGCTGGAGTGCAGCAGCACGCTCACAGCCACTGCAGCCTCGACCCGCTGGGCTCAGTTGATCCTTCCACCTCAGCCTTTCAAGTAGCTGGAACCATAGGCGTGTGCCACCACGCCCAGCTAATTTTTTTAATTTATTGTAGGGACAAGGTCTCACCAAGTTGCCCAGGCTGGTCTCAAATCCCTGGACTCAGGTAATCCTCTTGCCTCCATGAGACTGCATGCCCAGCTCACTGTGATTTATTATAGGAGACGAGAATTGTATTCTAAGACTAGTTACTTACATATTTACGTACTTACACTGAATCCATGTATGTGTCTACATATTTACCTGTTGCACAACAAGAGTAATACATACATAGAATTTAACTTTTAAAATCATACATAAGGGCATAAAATGAAAAATAGAAGTCCCTCTTCCTGCAGGTTCCTGGCCACGCTCCAGTCACCTTTAACAGTTTATTGCCCACAGTTGTGGAAATGTTCTATGCATACCCTTTTAAATTTACATGAATTGGGATCACTTAGCAATATTTCTTGAAGAGCTTTCCACCTCGTTTAAAAATTTTTTTTTTTTTGAGTTGGAGTCTCACTCTGTGGCCCGGGCTGGAGTGCAGTGGCATGCTCACAACCACCACAGCCTCCGCCTGCTGGGCTCAGGCAATCCTTCTGCCTCAGTCTTCCAAGTAGCCAGAACTATAGGCGCCCGTTACCGCACCCAGCTAATTTTTAAAATTTATTTATTGTGGAGACAAGGTCTTGCGAAGTTGCCCAAACCCGTGGGCTCAGGCAATCCTCTCATCTCGGCCTCCCAAAGGGCTGGGATTACAGGCTTCAGTCACTGTGCCCAGCCTCAATCTGTTTTAATTTAAGAGTTTGAGCATCTACTTGTATATTTGCCAGCCGCTTGCATGACTTCTACTCTGAGCTGCCTTGCCCTCTTCTTCCCCCACGTGGAGGTGAGAAGCGGGTGTGACTCCGCATGCACCTTCCCCTTCCAGCTGGCCCCCAGGAGCTGAGAAGGGCCCTGTCTCTGGGACAGGTGTGCTGGGAGGCAGGCAGCGGCTGCTTGCCTTCTTGCTTTCTGGTCTTTATTCCCTTCTCTGGTGTTTGATTTTTAAAAGACCATGCTACTTTCACAATTTAAAAGAAACTCGTTCATTTTAAGTCATCAGACAAAACATAAAATACACGGTCAAAATAATGGCTGAACAGAGTAAATGCAAGGCAAAAAAATAAACATTTTAGAGTGAATTTTGTGATCCTCAGCTCTGTATGTGGCAATGTCATTTTAATTAGCTTAGAAAGGAACTTTACATTTTTGCGTAATGGAATGTCAAGACATTTAGGATACATTGCTTCATGGGAAAAGGCGGACCAGAGGTGAGCCGGTATGTAATACAATCCGTGTTTGCCTTTTAAGGAAAGGGGAGGTGGGGAGAGGAGGGGGAGAGAAACAGAGAGAAGAAAGGGGAAGGAGAGGAGGAAAGAGGAGGGGAGGGGAGGGGGAAAGGGGAGAAAACCGTCAGCTGGACGGGGTGTCGCCATTCTCTGCCCCTCTGGCCACTGTCTGCCCAGGGGTCACCAATGAGTGCAGGTGCCCCACAGTGGGCGACAACAGATACTCCCCGCCGCCTGCTGCAAATTTCGGCAACTGAAGCTCTTGGCAGGCACCCAGCGCAGAGAAGACTGATGAAAATCTTTTCTGCAATTATTTCTTGAAGACATTTGAAGCATTTGAAGACACGGAAGCATGTAGCCCAGACAAAGAGACCCTGAACGAGGCCTGTCGTGTGGGAGGGGAGGGCCCCACGAGGGCCCCACCCCCAGCCCGCTCCAAGAGTGAACCTGGCCTCCACTGGCCACCTCAATCTGGGTTCAGCAATGGGGAGTGGGCTGCAGGTTAGAGGACAGGCAATTGCCGCCACACCTCTGTCCCTTCTGTCCCGCTGGCTCACCGTCTGCTCTCCACGGGTCCTGGTTACACTCCCTTCCGTGCTCTCAGGCCTCACGGTGCTGAGGGCTGCCTCAGGGTGGCCACTCTCTGTGCTCTACTTTTATGTGTCTCTTCATGCAAGCCCCTCTCCGTTGCCTCTGTCTCCTACTCAGCCCCAGCTGCCCGGTCCCACATGTGGTCCCACCACAACCCTGTCGCTCTACCAGGCTCTTAGCCCCTTGGGGACATGGGCCACGTGGTACCAGCACAGGACCTGGCACACGGTGGAGGGTGCCATCAGGGTCTCTTGAATAAATGAATGAATGGGCAAATGAATGCATGGCGACAAACCCACAACCCTTCACAAACGAAGGAGTCTTACCTCTAAATGGGAGCCTTACTCATTCACATGGCCGCCACTCTGCCCCAGCCAGAGCCCCACTTCACGATAGGGGACATATCCCTTGAGAAGCCTTGAAGGCCCAACCAGTGATTACAGGTTTTGTGAAGGGCCTGGGGTTCTTAGGAAGACCTGACAGTAGTTGCTATCGATTACTCAGTTAATCAACCCATCAACTGCTGCCTGGTGGCCCTCTTGGTACCAGGATCTCCTCGGGCCACTAGAAGGACAGTGCTGCCACCTTCCATCCTCCTGTGAGCTGGGGCCTGAACTCTCCACTCTAATGATTCTCCCAGCATTTGAAGAGAAGACGGTTCTCTGAAGGTCAAAGAGGTTCGTCCATGTGCTGGACAGACACGCAGGGGGACAGACACACAAGGAGACAAACACTCAAGCCACTCACTGAGCCTAGAGCAAAACCAGAGCCCGTAAGGTCTGGAGTGGGGAGCACTGTGGGGGGAGCAACTTCCTCTATCTGCAGGGGTCACTGAGACCCCACCGAGGAGTCCAGGCAGGGTCAGTGGAGCAGGCCAGGTAGGCAGGGCGTGAGGCTTTCATGGGAGAGGGAACAGCAAGGCCAAGGCTAGGGTTCCTGCTGCCGCCTCTGGGGAAGCACCGGGTGTTCGTGTGTAGACGGGAGGGTGGGGGGTGGAAGGAGTGTGGATCCTGGCTCAGGCAACGAGAACCACAGGGCGTAGGCTGAGACCAGGAGAAGGAGGCGGTGTGGGCGGGTGTGGGTGGGGGCGGGCAGGAAAGGGGCGCAAGCCCTGTCTGGCCTCAGCTTCCGGAGTCCCCAACCCCAGCGACTGCCAGGTCTCAAGGGTTTCCTCAGAACCCCGGGACCTTCACAAAAGCTGTAATCACTGGTTGGGGTTTCAAGGCTCCTCGGGGGACGACTGTCCCCTATCTGAAGTGGGGCTCTGGCTGGGGCAGAATGGCGGCCATGTGAATGAGTGAGGCACTCCCAGAGGCTCCTATCTAGAGGCCAGCTGGAGAATGGTACGTCCAGGACCCACTCCAGTCCCGGAGCCAGCCTGTCAGGGAGCCACAGCCCAGTGGGGACATGGAGGGCACCCTCTGTCCTCCCCCCAATACGGCACTGTGGGGAAACAAGGGGAACCTGGACCCAGCGCTGGCTGAGGCTCAGCCGGCGGGCAGGACTGGCCTGGAGGGACAAGACTGGGGGTTGCGGAAGGGGTCGGGGGTTCCTCGGAGGACACATCCCAGACGTCCCGACTCCTCATCCCCTCCTGGCCCCGTCCCTGGCGCACGCTCCAGCCGCCCAGCCCCTCCCAGGCCCCTCCTGGCTGGCAGGAGGGGATGCGGGGCCAATGCTCACCTGCGGCCAGTAGCAGGAGGAGCAGGGCTCCCAGGACCCTGGGTGTCGCCATCCTTGTCAGCCTTGCCCCCGAGAGCCCGCGGCTGTCTGGCCTGCGGGTCCAGGCTCTGCCGAGCTGGCCCACCCATCCCCGCCCGCCCAGGTTTCCTGTGTCCTCTTTCTCACCCTTCCTGCTCAGTGGCGCCATCGCCCGAGTTGTGAAAGATGAGCGTGGGAAACCCGGCTGCCCTCCCAGCCTCACCCACCCCGCGCCCACCTACAGGGGGAGCCACTGAGCCAACCCACAGGGCACCACCAGGGGTGCTGTGGGACTGGGGGCCCCAAAAGCCTCGCCCCAGAGCAGACCCCTAGGACCCAGAGATGAGCACGGCCTTGGAGTCCGTCACGCCTAGTCAGACCCCACCTCTCACAAGCTGGAGGGCCTCTCTGAACCTCCTCCTCGTCCTCCTCCACAAAGCGGAGAGCGCGATGGAGTGGCCTCCCAGGGCTGTGTCGGGCTTTGACCAGCTCCACCGCAAGCCCAGCACAGAGCCTGGCTCTAGGGACAGGGCGAGGACGCGGATGATGGCTATGGCTTGAGCCTGGTGGGGGGCGTGGGAGGACAGCAGGATCTGGCCAGATGGGACAACAGAACGGCCCAGGGGACAGGATGCGGGCGGACCAGAGCGTGGGTCTGGGGGCTGGTCAGGCCTGGACTGACGTCTGTCCTGGCTACTTCCCGGCTCATGGGATGAGGAGTTGTCCAGTCAGCGCGTGGCCATCACCAGCACTGCGGAATTGTTGTCAGCACACCCCCGCTGGTCACTGCTGGCCCAGGTGGGAAGTGGGGGCAGCAAACACACATGGGGCTTGGCATGAGGGGAGGGGCGGGGTCGGCCACTCAGGCTCCAACTCAGGGGCCCCAGGGAAGCCCTGTGCATAGGCCCAGGCCCTTGTGTGGTCCTCGGCCACTTGACGGTGCCAGGCACCCCATGGAGAAGGTGGGTAGTCACCAGCACCCCCCTTAGGCCCCCAGGGCCGGTGCTAACCTGCTCCACCTTGCGGTCTCACTGGGGAGCCTGGCTGGCCTCTGTTTCCCCTTCCTCCTACAAAGTTCCCCGACAGGCTTTGGGCCCTGCTGAGACCTCGGGGCCTGGAGGGGGGTGTATAGGGGTATGGGGAGGCAGATGGGAATCCGGCATGGAACAGCAGGTCAGAACCCCGGGCTTCCTGCGTCCCAGAAACTTCCTCTGCAGGGAAGGCCAGGAGGCAAAGGGGAACAGCGGCCTGTCTCTCCTCCCCGCCAGTCAGCCTCCCCGCAAGCTGCAGGTGAGAATGAGGTGAGACGGTGGACTTGGATGCGAGGGACCCAGAGTGGCTCACAGGTACCAGTTTGTGAAGTTTGGGAGATGCAGATTGAGACACAGCGCCAGCCCACCTGGGAAGGCAGCAGGAGAGGGTCAGGAGGCCAGAAGGAGGGCCACTTTTCTTTTCAGCTCCTTCTCTGAAAGACACCCCTCCCAGGCTCCACGAGGACCAGGGGCTGGCCTGGAGCCACTTACAGAGCCCTGGGACCCCCAAGCCCCAGGACAAACACAACTACAGTGTCCCCTTCTGCTGCCTCCTGCCCCCAGCTTGTCCCAGCAGCTCCAGGTAGGCAAGGCCTCAAGTTCTCTGACCAGACCTGGCCAGCATTCACCCTCAGCCACTCCAGTCCACTTCCCATCTGGGGGATGCTTCCAGACGTAGGTCTGGTCATGTCCTGATGGGAAGGTTGACCCCGTTGTCTAAAGTCCCACAGTCCAGGAAAGCGCATGATAAGAGCCAATGGGTCAAAGGGTACCACAGAGCAGCAAGGTGCCCCCATCCAGGGCCTGTCAGAGAAGGTGGGATCCGACCTCAGACCTCTTCCCCACTACTTGAGCCAGTCTCAAAAACGGAAACCAGATCTTTAAAGAAGTGGGAGAGGTCTGGGCACAGTGGCTCACTCCTATAATCCCAGCACTTTGGGAGACCAAGGCAGGAGGATCACTTGAGTGCAGGAGTTCAAGACTGCAGTATACTATGATCATGCCACTGCACTCCAGCCTGGGTTACAGAGCAAGACCCTGCCTCTAAAAAAATAAAAATAAGCTGGGCTCGGTGGCTCAGCCTGTAATCCCGCGCCTTTGGGAGGCTGAGGTGAATGGATTGCCTGAGCCCGCGGGTTCGAGACCCGCCTGGGCAGCGAGACCTCATCTCTACAATAAATCAAAAAATCAGCCGGGCATGGTAGCGCATGCCTGTAATTCCGGCTACTCGGAAGGCTGAGGCGGAAGGATCGCTGGAGCCCCGCAGGTCGAGGCTGCGGTGGCCGGGAGCGGCCACTGCACTCCAGACTGGGCGACAGAGTGAGACTCCAACTCAAAAAAAATAAAAATAAAAATAAAAAAAGATAAATGTTTAAAAAGAAGCAGGAGGTGACTCACACCTATAATCCCAGCACTTTGGGAGGCCGAGGTGAGAGGATTGCCGGAGCCCACGGGTTCAAGACCAGCCTGGACAACTTGGCAAGACTCCATCTCTACAATAAATCAAGAAAAATTAGCCGAGCTTGATGGTGTGCACCTGTAGCTCCAGCTACTAGGAAGGCTGAGGTGGAAGGATCGCCTGAGCCCAGCAGGTCGAGGCCGCGGTGGCCTTCAGCATGCCACTGCACTCCAGCCTGGGCAACAGAGTTTGACTCCAACTGGGGGTAGGGGGAAGAAGCAGAAGAATTTGTTTGAGGAGAGTGCTCTGCTTGGGGAAGGGGCTGGGTCCTTTCCCACCTTCCTGGAGGATGGGGAACAGTTGTCTCACCTCTCCTTCAAGCACAGTCCAATGATGGGGTCTGAGACTCCCTCGCAGAGTCCCCGAGAGGCCTGCAAGGAGGAACGCTGGCTCTGATCCCACTGGGCCACCAAGTCAGGACACTGGGGCAGGGATCTGGGGAGACCTGGTCTCTGTCCTCAGGCGCTAGGTGCATACAAGGAGCCCCTCCCCCCAAAAAAGGGTGGGGACAGAGGTCAATGGAAGGAGTGGAGCGGGGCTGGGAGAACAGCAGGGTGCAGGGAGTTCCCATGTGCAGAGATCCCTGCAGGCCTCAAAGATCCCACGTGCATGGTCCTCAGAGGGCACTGGGGTCTAGCCCTGGCTGCCAGCGTGGCCTCTCACCCATCCTAGCCCAGCTGCAGCCTCAGCGCCCGCAGGGGCGCCCCCTGGCAGCCAGGAGAGGAAGGAGGGGCCCGCGGAGGGAGCGCTGTGGGCGGGGCCTTGAGTTAGACTGGGACCTTACACCTGAACACAGTAGCGGTGATCACTTGTGGCGGCTCTCCTGACAGGGACGGGAACCTGCGCCTCACCCAGGTCACACGATGGGAGGAGAGATTTGGCAGAACAAGGTTGAAGGCAGGGATGGAGGAACCATCCAGTAACTTCAGCCCACCGACTTCACACTGGTCAGCAAACTGGGCAGAGCGGGCAAGGGCTGGATTCAGCCCTGGAGTGCGATCTCTTTGGCCAGAGACTGTTTTAGATTGACCAAAATTTTAAAATCAGAGAGCCTCACACCACATTCCAGATTTCTCCTAAAGGCAGGTGATCTGGCGACATGGGCCCTTGCTCCTTCTGGGCAGTGACCGCCTGAAGCTGATGAGCGGCTACCCCCTCAGTGAGGGCTTTGGAATCTCCAGTTCACCGCAGACCCCACCACTCCCCATTGCCTCCCCAACACTGACTCAAAGCTGTCATTTCTCTCCCCCTTTGCCCTAGTTGATAAAGTCTCCAGCAGCTGATTTTTTTTTTTCCACACACAGCTCACATCTCTTGTTCAAGCTTCCGGATTCACCCCATGGTGTTTGTGTCAGTGACTCTTTTAATAGAAGCACAGGGTAAAGCTCAGAAGGAAATGCTCCAAAATGTCTCTGGTTTGTTAGATAATAACGACAGCAGATTTTTATTTTTCTTCTTGGTACTCTTCTACAGTTTCCAAATTCTCTACAACAAACATGTACTTCTTTATTTAATATCAAAAGACGAAATAATTGGTACTTAAAAAGGACGTCCTTCCCATCTTTAAGGCTGAGATTAAGACCAAATGCTACCTCCTACAAAAAGTCTTCCTGGATTCCCAGCCAGGAATGATGGCTCCTGACTGTGCCTGGAGCTCTTGGAGCTTTTACCACGTGCATGCCGCACACACTAGACTGAGGGTTCGCAGGGGGAGTGACCAGGTCTGGTCGTCTGTGTCCCTACCACCCAGTACAGGCCAGCGACCGACTGGTGTGTGTTTGTTGGAAGAATTAACCATGATGGGCAGCCGAGTGTGCCTGGAGGGGCTTGCAAGGGTTCGAGAGCACCCCCTCCAGGCCAGCGTCACCAGAGGAGGTAGGTCTCAGTCTTCGGGGTGCTGCGATGGAAGCAAGATGGGACAGCCACGTTCCACAGTCTTGCCACAAGAGGGCCTCGGAGAGGCAGAGGGCCCCTCTGAGGTGTGTGCTTGGCCGGACAGGGCGAGGCAGCTCAGAGAGGCCTGGATGGCAGATGGACCTGGCCAGCCTGGGCGGCCATGCTCAGCCCGAGTCAGGCGCAGGCCAAGGCCTGTGCAGTAGACAAGAGTTTACAGCAGACACCAGACAGCAACTGGAGCCACTACCCAAAGTACAGCATTGGAACTGGGGATCCTAGGCTGAGAGTGAAAGGCTGGGGCGGCCTCGGGAGAAGGAGGAGGGAGGGCTGGGAGGCCAACAGAGGGACAGGGCCCCAGGCTCGGAGGTAGGCGGGCTGCGGCTCTGCTCCAGGGAGGGGCTTCTCCTCCCCCAGGGCCTGAAGCTCTGCCGAGCTGTTTGCTGTGGGTGCCACCTTGGGTTACAATGCCAGGGGCTGCAGAGTGTTGCAAGGTGATCACCAGGGTCAGACAGCTAGAGCCACGTTTCTGTCCTGGGCAGGGCACAGGGCTGAGGACACGCCGAGCCTCCAAGATCCCTGGCCTGACCCCCAGCAGCGAAGGCCAGGTCCAGGGTTGGCAAAGAGGGACTAGGCCTCAGCCCCCAGTTAGGACAGCTGGGGGGGGACAGCCCCATAGCCAGCTTGGAGCGCACTTCTGAGCCCCTTGGGAGTGGGACCCACGGGCCGAGTATTCCCCAAGGCCGCTCAGAAGGCCCAGCCTGGGAGTTTGGTGACAGCCCCGCCTCTCCAAGGTCCTGGGGCCTGCTCAAGTCTCCGACTGACTGGCCGAGGGCTGGGCCCGGCTGCAGGGGCCACAGGCAGTGTGAGGCGAGGCCGAAACGCAGCTTCCTCTCGCTGGGCAGGTGGGCTGGCGGCCTAGATGCGGCTGGACGAGGTGCTGCCTGAGCTGATGGGGGAGCCTGGCGCTGTCCGAGTTGCTCTTCAGCGGGGAGGGGCCGCCCCGGGCCTGCAGCCGCATGGCCCAGTACCAGAGGAAGATGAGGAAGCCTGCGTGCGGGAGGGCACAGCTCAGCAGGCGGGGCAGCCCATCCCCTCCAGAGCCACCTCCCCCCAGAATCCCCCCCCACCCTCTCCCAGCACACACAGTCAGGCACCATGTGACCAGGGAGCGCCTGCCACGTGCCGGGTGCTAAGCTGGGTCCCTGTGTGCCCTCTCCTGTGTTCTCCCAAGGTGTCTGTAGGTCACTCCTGTTCATTGCTATTCTGATTTACGCATAAGAAAACTGAGGCCCAGGGAGGTCCAGGTAGGAGGACTTGGCTGAGCCAGAGGTCAGGCAGTGGCGATGAGGCTCGTAAGTCCACCCATTAAGCACCGTGACGTGTCAGTCATGGTGCTTAATGGGTGGCCTTTCGAGCCTCATCGCCACTGTAGTGTCCCCCCATGACACTACGACGATGTAGCGATAGCTCAGTCGATGCCTGTGCAAATGAGAAGGGCTTCCTCCCCTCCTCAGAGTCCTGCTTATTCATTCCCTGGGGAGAAGATGAAGGCTCGAAAGCAAAATAACTGGAAGGTGGGAGCATCACCCCCACCCCTCCTTGGGCTCTAGGGTGACCCTGGGTGAGAAGCTGGTCTTGCCACTCCACGTGAGTCCCTGGGCCTGGCCACGCAGCCCCTCTTCACTCGGCACAGCCAAGAACAGAGGGGCAACGTGTGTGTGTGACAATGCAGAGGAGGTGGGGAGGAGGGGTACTGGTGGAACAGAAAAGGACCCTGCGGGCATCCAGCCAGGCCCTTGAGGCTCCGCCCCGCCATCTGCTGCCCCATCCTTCAATCCCTACTCTTTGGCCTCCCTGTCCTACGCACAGCCTCGCTCCAACTCCAGGAACTTTGCTCTTGCTTCTCCCTCTACCTGGAGCTCTCCCTTCCCCTAGGCCAGGGCACCTCAACCTGTAATGCGCACACACATCCCCTGGGCATCCTGTGAAAAGGCAGATTCTGACCCGGCAGGTCCGAGCAGGCCAGACACTCTGCTTCTCATAAGCTCCCGGGGACATCGATGCTGCTGGACTATGGGCCACACATGGAGTACCGAGCCTGCCTCTCTCCATGGCTGGGTCCTTCTGTCAGTCTCTCTGTCTCTCCCTTACCCCTCCCAAGAGAATCCCCCTCCCCAGCCCAGGTCTATGCATTACACTATCCACCATTCCTTCCTTGCCTCGAGACCCCCTTTGATGGCTGTGTGTGCTGACATTCATTTTCCCCCCAAGCTGAGCTCTGCCCATCCAGCTTGCAGCTGGAGCCCCAAGGCTCAGCGTACGGTCTGCATACAGTAGGTGCTCAATAAAGACTTGCTGACTGTGGCTCACACGCCCCCGTTTCATGAATGAGAAGACTGAGGCTCAGAGAAGGACCGCCTCGGGGCTCCCTGGCTCATCCCATCTCTGCCAACTGCTCCACAAGTGGACACCCTGCCCGCGCCGGGGAGAGGTTCCTCTCCACACCCACCTTGGAAGGAGGTGACAATGCTGAAGAAGTAGAGGACCACGAGCTGGAAAGTGCCGGAAGCAAAGGAGAAGAAGACCAGGGCCCAGGGCAGGCCGAGGACCAGGCAGAGCCCCAGCAGCGTCAGCACGTGGGCCCACTTCTGGGTGTGCGGGCGCACACGCAGGATCTGCACCACCATGGTGCCCAGCATGGCCGCGTTGAACAGGAACACCAGGCTGAAGAGGCCCAGGTTGGTGACGTAGCTGACCAGGGAGTCCCGGATCCAGCACCTGCGGGCAAGGGCAGGGGGCTCACTGCACAGCCCGCAGGGGCAGCGCCTCCTGGGCCGCCGCTGTCATCATGTTTGCTGTCAGGATTACTCACTGTTTCTGACAAGTGCTGCTTGTTTTCTGATAGTGTTGATGTAATTTTCTAAAAAATACACTTATGTTAACTAGTCTTTCTTTTTTGCGAGTCAGGGTCTCCCACTGTTGCCCAGGCTGGAGTGCCGTGGCACAAACATGGCTCACTAAGCCCTTGACCTCTTGGGTGCAGCCATCCTTCTGCCTCTGCCACTGCCTCCTGAGTAGCTGGGACTACAGGCACTCACCACCATGCCCAGCTAATTTTTAAAAATTTTTTTGTAGAGACGTGGTCTCACTATGCTGCCCGGACTGGTCTCCAACTCCCGGGCTCAAGCAATCCTCCAGCCTCAGCCTCCCAAAGTGCTGAAGTTACAGGCATGAACTACCATGCCTGGCCTAAATCAGATGATGTAAAGGAAAGTATTAAGTAGGTAATGAAACAGATGGCACAGGGGTGAGGCAAAGCTCACCAGGTCATGAGGGGAAGTGCTAAAAACTTCAAAACCAATGGGAAGGACGAAGCTGAGAGCTCTGGCCTCCAGGTGAGGTTCAGGGGACCCACAGGCAGGGGCCCCGCCAGCCTGGGCAAATCAGGTGAGTGGAAGAGGACTGGGTTTCAGCCCCATCTCCCCTGCCTTGGAGCAGTGCCCTAGCTCCCAGCGAGGCTGAGAGTGGACCCCTGCCCTCTCTGAGCTTTGGTCTTTCCATCTGCGCAAGGCAATGGGGGAGCACAGCAAAGGGATGTGGTGGGGCGTACCTGCCCCAGTCCATGCCCCCACTCATAAATGAGGACACGGAGGCTCAGAGAAGGCCAGGTCCTGCACAAAGTCACCCGGTGAGCGAGTGGCAGTGCCGGGCCTTTTCTCACCCTCTGTGACCCTTAGGCCAGTGCTCCAGCTACTGCCTGGCCAGAGGCTGCAGCCCAGGTGTCTCTGGGTCAGCATGGCCCAGGGCAGGCTGCTCTCTGGCCTCCGCACCAGTGCCCTCCATTCCTGCCCCCACCGCACACAGCCACTCACATGGAAGGGTAGATGACACTCTCCGGGGTCCTATGCACAGCCAGGATGATGGGACCATAGTTGTCCACGTCCACCAGGGCCACCAGCGTCACCAGGAAGATGGGGAAGCCTGAGGGCAGCAAGGCATACAGCTGCAACCCCCTCCTCTGAGGCCGTGCCTTCTCTGGCTCAGGAGGGCCTAGAGGGTGGAGCCCCCTCAAGCGTCCCAGAGCCCATCCAGTCCCCTGTGGGGAGAGGGTCACCCAAGCTTGGGCCCTCCCCTCCCATTCCAGTTTGGACTTCCCATAAGGGGAGGCCATCTTCCTGACTCAGCCCTTGCCCCCCAGCAGCCTGGGGGCCCCAGGACAAAATTCGGCCGCTCCCTGCCGAGGGCTAGAGCTCCCAGGAGAGGTGGGAGGGGCAGATGGGACACTGGCACGTGGGGGAAGATGAGGGACAGCAAGTGTTCTGTCCCAGGGAGGTCTGCCCCGGGCCTTAACCTTACCCATTAGGTGGAGGCCAGAAGCTCCTGGAGGGACCACCCACCTCCAAGCCCCGGGTCCTCACACAACCAAATCTGGGGATTTTCATGTAATTGGGGGGCATGAGCAAAGAAGGGGCCCAACAGGGAGCCCAGGAGGTAAGTGGAGCCTAAGGACATGTGGAGGCTGGGGTCCCTGCCAAGTCCAGAAAGGCTCGTGGTGTAAGGCCCTGAGCTCCGGCTGACACGAGAGGCCTGGGCCACAGATGAAGTGGGCACTTATCGGCCAAGAATAAAACACCAAAGCCACAGAGATCTGTCACCTGAGGGGCAGGGGATCCACAGGCAGGACCGCTGCCAGTCTGAGCAAATCAGGGATTCGCCCCACTGATCTCCCAGCTGGGTGCCTTTAAGCAGTACACAACCTGCACATCCATACACGGTGGCCCTGCCTGCAAATCCCTCCTTTAATTCTGCAGGGGGTACAGAGAGTTTGGAAGTGCTTGTTGGGAGTCACTTCATCTTCCTCAACGGGGACCTTGGCCCAGCCCAGGTGAAGGACCACTGAGAACGAGTGAGGAAACAGAGAGGCAAGCCAGAGAGACAGGCAGCGGGGCAGGAAGGACCAGGAGCCTGTGCTTTGCCAGACCACGTGGGGGAGGCGGGTATGGGGAGCCCACTCACAAGCCCCCCCACAGAGCCGGCAGAGTCCCTCACCCCACTCACTCACCCCAGCCCACGACGCTCAGCTTGAGCAGGTAGCCAGGGACGTAGGTGCCAAAGACCTCGACCACCAGGCGGTAGAGGTTGTAGCCCTCGAGGCCCATCCAGGAGAGGCAGGAGAGCAGGGAGAAGTGCAGGAGGATGGCACTGGTGCGGCAGGCGGCCTTGGAGCCCGTCAGGGCCACCGGCTCGCTGAGCAGGAAGCTCACGTCCAGCAGGAAGACGGCCAGCAGCAGGTTCATGTGCACCTTGACGGTGTAATCCCGGGGCTTCCTCCTGCATGGCAGGGGCACCCTGATGGGCCGTGTGGGAAGGTGGGCGGGGAGGTGTGCCTGCTTCTCCTCCAGGAAGCCCTCTGAGACTTCCCCTGCTCCCGACACATATGGTGACACCCGCTCCTATCCCTGCTCCTGGGCCGGGCCCCTGTGCACCCACACTGTGGGTTCAGCACCCACAGGCTCGGTACCAAGTTTAACAGAAGACTTAGCAGGCAGAGCAAGGGGGACAAGCCAGCCACCACAGTCAGCCAGACGCTCCCTGAGTTGGAGAGGAAAGGCTGGCTTGGAGGCTGGGGCCCTGCTCTGTGTCTGCACAATCGTGCGTCTGCAGGTCGGAGCTGGGGTATGGGCACGTCTGTGGACATACCAGTCAGGGCTCACAGCCCACCTCACCTGCACTCCCACCTCACCCCAGGTTGTAAGTGGCCCTGGAGCGGGCAGGGAAACGGGAGGCCCCAGCATCACCCTCGTCCCGACTCGTGGCATCCCCTTGGGCTGGTCCCTTCTCTCTGACACTCTCAGTTTACGGTTCTGTGAAGTGGTTCCCCCTCACAGGGTAGGGGTGAGGGTTACACTGATGCAGAGATCTGGTCCAGGTCAGAGGCTCAGCTCCCTGGGTCCCCGCCCTCGTGTCCTTGGTGTGTTTGTGATCAGTTAGGTGCTGGGACTTCTGCCCCCGCCCCCAGCCTTCCACTGAGCCCATCAGCTGTCCCTCCTCATTGCCATCACCTGTACAGCCCCCTTGTGCACAGTTAGGGACACACACGACAGTCACACATGCACATACATGCACACAGCTCCACCCTCCTCACCTCCTGGTCAAGAACACCCCAGGTTCTCCCCAGAACTAAGGGTGTCTTCCCTCTACCCAAAGGGGCCCAGGGACTGCTTGCAAGTGGACCTCAGTGTAGGCCAAGCCAAGCACTGACCACATGACAATCTCTGCCACTTCATGCTATGTGACCTCTGGTGAGTCACTTGCCCTCTCTGAGAACTTTCATAGGCTTTTGTGAGGATAAACCGAGTTCGCACTTGGCATGGCACGTAGGAAATTCGATGCCAGAGTTAATTCTTATCATGTCACCAACATAACACCACTATGGGCACCCTGGGTCTCACATGTGCTTATTCAAGGCGGAGACACAGATTCTCACATGAACTCTCCCGATTTTAAATGTTGGCAGTTAATTAAAATGTGGAAATGCCATGTTATCCAAACACCACAAATCTGAGGAGGAAATGGCCCCCGGGGTCAGCAGACCACACTCCCCACCCAACTCCCACAACCACGCACAAGTTTGGGGGTCCACCGGAGTGAGCCTCCACAGCTGTGGGGATCTCCCTCCCCGACCCTCTCTGGCCTCACCTGGAGCAGAGGTAGGCGGCGATGGTGAGGACGCAGGCCAGCGCGGAGATCACGCAGCCCACGTAGGAAAGGAGGGTCAGGTAGTGCTTGTGCACGGCGTCCACCTCCACAGAGGAGACCTGGGCCCGGGAGATGAGCGGGCTGCCTCAGTGTCCCCACCCAACCCCAGCTGTGCTCCCTGCAGGGCTTTGGGACCCATGATCCTTCCCAATGGAGTGGAGGGTTCTTGGCCTGAGTGCATCTTCCTGGACAGGGTCAGCAGCTTTCACCACATTCTCAAATGGCTCCCTGACCCCCAAAGGCCAAGAACCCTCCCCCAAAGAGCCCTCTTTTCATCCTGGCATTAATTATTTATCTATAACATTCAATGTGGGAATAGGTTTCCTGTGAGGGAGTGAGCTTCCCACACTCAGGAGTGTTCAAGCCACGGCTGGACACCCACAGAGAGAATCCTAAGATTCTGGGACACAAAGCCTCTGAGATCTCAGGGCACTGGAGCCCACTCCAGGGGCCTCCACGCTGGGCCTCCTCTAGGGTCTCCTTAGAAACACACTCCTGGCCCCAGCCCTGTGAAGTCAGAGTCCTACCTAGGCTTGGGCCAGGAAGTTGCATTTTTATCATACACCAGAATGTGGGGAAAAACAACAAGGGCTTTACAGACCAGCTCTTCCACTTTCTAGCTGGTGACCCCAGGGAAATTGCTTAACCTCTCTGAGCCTCCGCTTCCTCATCTATAAAGGGGGAGAACGCTACCTCAGAGGGTTATGGTGAGGAATAAATGACTCAATCTGAAGAGTCTGGCACAGAACTCGGCCCGCCATGGGGCTGTGAGGCGGGGAGGGGTCCCTCACCATCAGCACTGCGAAGTAAGTCAGGTGGTTGCAGAAGCAGGACGTCTGGGTCTCCTTCCTGATGGTCTCGCAGCCGGCGCTGCTCCACTTCCCCGGGCTGCTCACTGAGGAAGGGACCACAAGGGGCTCTGATGAAGCCCATCCCCGGGCCCTCATCGCACACCCCCAAACGCACAACCGTGTTGTTCTTCCGAGCCTTTGCCTACCTAGCAGCTGGCCAGGCTGCCGCCACTCCCTCTTCAAAGCCCAGCTCTCTCCAGGAAGCCCTCGGTGATTACCCCATTCCCCCACCCTCCAGGACCCCATTTCTCCTCCAGATGCTCACCCAGCCCAGAGACCCCTCCAGACTCACGTGTCGGGTCTTCGACCCAGAATACGCACTGCAGAGTCACATTCTTCTGCAGGGACAAGAAAGAAGGCGAGGAGATGGAGGGGATGGCATGACAGCCGGCCCCCTGTGGCACAGGAAGCCTGGAGGAAAGTCAAGCCACCTCCACCCACTGGACCCAACCAGCTGGTGCCCCATCCAGTGTTCCCATGAAAGGTGGATGCGTCAGGAGCGGGGACGGGTGAGGACAGCTGGCAGAGCAGGGACGCTTGTCCCCTGGTTGGTGCCGCCACTCACAGGCTGTGGCTGGTGCTGGAAGGTGAGGACCACGGGCTCCGGGAGGTTGGCAGCCTTGGTGTCCTGCACCACGATGCCCAAGACCTTCTCACCCAGGACTTGGCTGGAATTCTGGTCCTGGATGTGCGGGGTGGGGGGAGAGAGTAGGCAAGGGCTTCAGGGCTGAGGAGAAGGGCCCAGAAGGCTTGGCCTCTCTAAACCACTGCCCCGCCCAGCACATTGCTTTGAGATGCAGTCTCCCTCTGAAGTGATTTTACACATGCAGTCCTTTACACTGTAGCGAGAACAACCCCACTGAGACCTCTGGGGGAAATCTGCACGTTGCCGTCTGATTTCTGACTTTCCAAGGAGAGACTTAGACTCCTGGTGGAGGGAGCGTGGCCGCATATCTTCTTCCCGTCTCTCTGTCAGACAAGCACTGCTTTCCCTGGGGAGGGCCGGGGGGAGGGCAGGGGGCAGGGCAAGGGGGGGTCGGGGGCAAGGACAGGAGGTGGACGGAGGGAGGGAGATGGCAGGAGGGGGAGGGCAGAGGGCGTGGGAG